CTGAACAGGAAATGATCTTATAGCTCTAGTGGACTGTTCAGTGTAAATATTAACACAGTGAAAATTGAGGGTACAGAATGATTAAAAAAATTCTTGCAAATCTGGGGAGAGGGCACTTCACTATTCTCCCCACTTGTCTTACCAACAACAGTGTTGAATATTTACATTGCAAAACTCTGCCTGATAATAGATCACTAATGAGTAGTGGATAATAGATCAGCCAATTGATTACTTAAATAGTTCTACCAGTAGCACAAAGGGACAAGGAATATGAAACTCACTGCAATACATTACAGTATATACACCCATCACACAAAACCCTCCAGCCATGCATAAAAAGAGTTTGTTCTATTCATCTGTCACTGTACAGATTAAGCATGTACTTACACACCACAGAATAAATTATCTTGCTTCTTTTTCCTCACTGAAAATGTCTTTACTGCTTGTGAGCTCCTACTAATCTCTTATCATTGAGATCAATTTGAGCTCTTAAACATCTATCGTTAAAGGCCAGCCACCTTTTTATGAGAAAGAAGAAGAGATACAAAGAACCCTCTGAGTTTGCAGGGCTCAGGATTTAATTATTGCTTCTTAAGTGAAGAATAACCTTTGAGCTAAGGACCTATGTAATAAGCAGAGACAAATAAGTTCAGCTACCACTGCAGAATTACAGCACCAGAGAACAATTTGCTGCATTCCTTCAAAGGCCTGCATGAACCCAATCTCCTAAATAAGTACCAGACACCAAGTGCTCCATAAGCAAACAGAGCCCCCGAAGTGCATAAATGAAATAAGTAAAAAGCTTCACATTACATATAAACCAGCCGTTTGCACCTTGTTATTAATGGTCTTGACTGTGACCTCTGAACCTAGCTTTGCTTGGAGTCACGAATCCTCAAGCCTTGGCACTCCTAAATGTAGGAAAATAAATAAAATTGTTCATAGATATTTAGATTAAGTCATACAAAACAGAATTTAATTTTAAGAACTGCATCACTAACCTTTTTCATGAAGAAACTAGTGAAAGTTGTGTGGTATGAAACAACCTTGAATACAAGCTGCCTATGGTGGACTGACTTCCAATGGATTTTAGGTAAAGGACATACCTAATACAGTATGTATTAGCTATGCAATGGGCTTTTTCCAAACTTTCATTCAATCCATTTCCACATTATAGAATTCATGCCAGGTTTGCTCTCATTTTTAATTTCTTAGGGGTGTGTGAATCAGCTAAGTTCTGGTTCAGATTTGAGGTTCAAAGACAAAATTAGATTTCAATTGATTGAAGAATCAGTTGGTTAAATCATAGACTATCATAAGAAAGCACATTGCTTCATTTTGACAAAATGAAATGAGAGTAGCAGGAATGGTAGCCCTTTGGAGGGCAAGATTCCCAGCAATAAATTTGGGGAAAAACCATTTGTCAACCTCTTTTAAAGCAGAGATAGAATGGATGAGGAAATAATAGAAAGCTGCCTTCATATTATTCAGCAAAATGACTATAGAGATTTTTTACTGAACCAATAAATAAAATGTCCTATCTAAATAGGAGGGGAAATTAAATATCAAAAACTCAACTATTTTCTTAGTACTTGGTTGTTCAGTTGGCCTAATTATCAAGATGGTTTTAGGACAATGTAATCCAAAAGCCATGGTGGTGCAGTAGTTACAATGCAGTTCTGCAGGCTAGTTCAGCAGCTCGATTTTCACAGGCTCCAGGATGACTCAGCCTTCCTTCCTTCTGAGGTTGGTAAAATTATTGTTGGGGGATATATGCTGATTCTGTAAACTGCTTAGAGGGCTGTAAAGCACTGTGAAGAAGTATATAAGTCTAAGTGCTATTGCTCTGTTGAGATTAATTTAGTATGCTAAATCTTGGAGGTGTTTTTATTACTGAGGTATTATTGCATATGTAATACATTATGTCTATTTCTCAGTTTTGGCAATTTTAACCCGCTGGCTGGGGAATTCTGGGATTTGGGTCACACATCTTAAAGTTGCCAAAGTTGAGAATCACTGCACTATGATATAAACAGTTTGTTATATTCTATAGTCTAACAGCAAACACATTCTCTTAGAACACTCCATGCAGTGAGACAAAACAGAGACAAAGAAGTACAATATCTGGAGATTAAAAAGGAATTATTATTATTATTATTAATTTTTAGTAAATAGTAGAAAAGAAAAAGGATGAAAGTAGAACTGAGAAAGTGAAGAATTGTAGACAGACTGGAGAGTGAGAATAACAGGGACTATACAGGACATATAAATAGATGTGAGATTTAAGGATTATAGATTTGGGAAGCGATAAAAACTCCAACAAACAGGTATAAAACATAAATAGGAGAATAAATCTGAATATATTTCTTTCCCGCCCAGCAAATCTGCATGAATACATTCTAGTGAAAGTGTGAAGTTGAGTAGCACTCACTGTCTGGCAAAGAGGATTCGCAGGTGTGATTACGTCATTAGCCAGTTATCTGAGTCATTGTTTGTGCCAATATCTCAGAGCCCACTGCCTCTCAGTGCCCATCACCCTCTCAGCTTTGTTCATTTGAATATTTCACATTCTGCAAACCTAGCAAGTCCACTTAACCTATAAATACCCAGTGAATCTGGACAGTACATTTAGATTCTTATTTAGTGTCTTAAAAATTCAGTTTAAAGGAGGATTCAATCAAAGCTTTGCAAAGTCCTAGTTGTAAGATGCCAAACTTCTCAATGAACATTCAACTAAGATGCATTACAGTTGTGACTGTCAGTTTGGCTTGTATTAGCATCACCTTAATCCTTATAGAACCTCTGTGATTTGATTATGTGGAATAAATCCACAATCTGACAAGCATTCATCAGATTCAAACTAATAAGGCTCTTTCTCTTTTCTGGTGTCCTACTTTTTATGACATTTTGATTTCATTATTTACGATCCCAGAAGCTGCTTTAAGATTTTTCAGGATTCAATCCTATCATTTCATTAGTTTTCTTAGGCCAGAAAAATATAAATTCTATGACCTTAAATAAATTTAGATGAGATAACTGGGGTAATATGAAAACACCCTTCAAGAACTGGGCCTCACCAGTTCCTTATACTCATCTGACCTCAAGATAGAGAAAGTTGCATTTCAACTGAATTCAAGAAAAGTTGCTTAAAGGTATTTGAGGAATAATTAGAGGAATTTGACAGTAGGGCCAATTACTTAAGATGATGAGCTCTTCTATACTAGATGCATTCAGAGATGCTCAGGAAGTTTATGGGGCACTTGTCATTGTGACTTTGCAATCTATATATTTTAGTTTTAGATTAGTTTTCTATTTAAGAGTTGAAAGCTTAATTAAGTGAACTGACAGGATGTACAATTTTAATACAGGTAATCCTCGACTTATGACCATGATGGAGCCCAAAGTTTTGTGGCTAAATGAGACATTTGTTAAGTGAATTTTGCCCCATTTTACAACCTTTCTTGCTACAGTTGTTAAGTGAATTGCTGCAGTTGTTAAATCAGTAACACACTTGTTAAGTGAATCTGGCTTTCCCATTGACTTTGCTTATCAGGTTACAGAAGGAGATCACATGACCCCATGACATGGCAATCATCATAAATATGAGTCAGTTGCCAAGCATCTGAATTTTGAACACTTCACCATAGGGATACTGCAAAGGTCATAAGTGTGGAAAACAGTCATAAGTCACTTTTTTCAGTGCCATTGTAACTTTGAATGGTCACTAAATGAACAGTTGTAAGTCAACAACTACGACCAGTCATGTACTTGAATATGAGAAGTATAATGCAATTATATTTTAATTACTTAGAAGAGCAATTTAACCCACTGATCTGTATAAAATGCTTCTTTGAGGAAGTTCAAACCTTCCTTAGGAAGAACTAGCAACTGAAGTATTTTATCTTCATCACTTGAAAACTAGTCTATAATAATGTTATGTACTTGGTGTTGCTCTTCGTGACTAGAATCTATCAGGCAGTACAGGATATAATATCTTGTCTACCAATAGTTAGAGACATGGTGTGGTACCTATTGCAATTCCTCCTTTCCTTGAAGGTATACATAAATTTTGCATATTTACAGGTCTCTTTCCATTTTTTCTTCTTGAAGAGAATTTAAAAACATTATTTTATCTCCACATCACATTTGGCAATCTATGACCTACACTTAATTTTAAAACTCTACAAACTATTCATTCAGGAATCTGGTAACAGTAATCTAGCTGTTCTTCTGGCAACTCAATTAGCAAAGAGAGAAAAAAACAAGCAGTATATAAATAAATAACAGTGAGAATCCTCATACAACTAGTAACTACCATGATGACTATAACTTCGGGCTAGTAAAATTTAGGATAAATTTAACACATAAAAACAAGGAGCGCAAAATTAAAGCAAGATATCCAACATGGAGCAAATAGACTCCGTATAATCAGTGGAGAACATAACATGAATTTTACACCTGTGTTAAGTAAACCTGCAATTAGAGGCAATGCCATAGGTATATGAAGTGGCATAACTGAAGGCACAGCACAAGGAAATATTTTAGTAGATGAAATGTCTTTCTCTGTGTTATGAAAGTAGGACAGACTAAGAATTATTGATAGCAACAGACATTGCAGAACATTGCCAGCCCTGTTTGCAAGCTTATCCCACTCTAATATGCTCATGTCAAAGAGAAGACAGTGAGAGAAACCAGCCTTAGGGAGTGATGCACAGGAGACTCTGCTTCATTTATAACCCCACACATAAGTTGGAAAAGATTCAATTTTAAAAAGCATTATGCTGCTTACCTTATGGGCCTCTGTGGATGGCAAAGTGAAATTGGATGAATACAGCATGACCATTAATCATCACAGAGATACCACCGTGAGAAACTACCCCTGTGGCTTATGCTCACTCGGCAGATAACATTTGAGTTTTACCTCCTAGTTGCTGCATAGATCCAGCAGTCTGTTTCCTCTTTCTTGTCTTGTCACAAATGAATGCAAACACCACTACAGATAGAGTGGTAAGTGACATATTTATCAAGTAGTAATGATCCCTAATAATCAAGAACATATCATAGGCTTGTAGATAACAAGCTATCTGCCTTGCAATATACATTTATGAAATACAGCAAAGAAAAATACTGTAAGAGATAGAGAAATGAATGATCTTCAAAACATCTATGAAATATAACTTTGCTTCAGAAAGAGCAGTCATTTTGTGTAGACATCAGTGTTTTTGCAACAGATAAAACTTTTTCTATCCTTATACGCTGTGTGTGTATGCCTTGTATTTCTTCTATCCTTGTATGCTGCGATTACACATCTGAACTAGCCATGCTTTAATAATGTCTAACAGCAGTTGAGAAATACACCTGTCATCCAATACTACAATGCTATTACTCAAGTATTTAGTTGTCCCACTTTCCTTCATATAGTTGCTGTTCAAAACAAAGACAGAAGATGGGAGAAAGGGGAAGGGATAAACTGAGCTTTATAAATGACTCAGGATAGTCAAAGGTCAAGGATAAAAATCAATTTTGTCTATTGATGTTAGGAGAAACTCCTCCTAAGGTATCAGTCTCCATCAAGCTCTACAAATGGTTGAGCAATTTAAGAAACAAGTGCAAATGACTAATCCACTTATTAAATTCTGATTTATTGCTTGATGAACAATAAAAAAGTAAAAACACCCTTGAGCCAAGCAGTTATCTTGGCAGAGTTAGTGTTTAAGTGTCTGCAAATTCTTCTGAATTTTCAGTATTTCTGGATAAACAGTGCAATTAAATAAATGAATTAAAAACATTTGTTCATTGCTTTATTGAGAAAAATGATCCAAAGCTACATATTTGTGTGTGGCAAGTATGTGAATCTTTGCTTTCAGTCACTGGGCAGCAATAACTGCAACTAAACATTTTCAGTAACTGATCAGTCCTATAGATTTGTGTGGAAGAAATTTTAATGCATTCTTCTTTACAGAGTATCTTCAAACTAAGGGATGGACTTCCTCACATGAACTCCTTACTTCAAGTCCTTCCACAACATTTCTTTAGGATTAAGGTCAGGACTTTTAAGTTGGCCACTCCAAAACATTAGCAATTACTGAAAGCAAAGTTCATATACATTTTGTGACAAATGTGTAGCTTTATATCCTTTCCTCAGCAAATAAATGAACAAGTTATGTTTTAGACTCATTTAATTGGTTTTCACTTTATATAGTTCTAAACAACTGTGTGGATGACAGATCACATTTTAGGTCATATTTATAGAGAAATATTGAAAATTTAAAAGGGTTCATAAGGATTTGAAGGACCACTGTATAGAAATGGTTTGCCGTTGCTTTCTTTCAGGATTTTTAAAAACTTTCTAATCTGGCCAACAGTTTCAGAATTGTCAGGTTGTCTTTCATCCAAATGTAAGCCAGGGCCAATCCTGCTTAGCTTTTGTAATAGGCAATGGTTGGCTAAGAACTGCTACTTGCTTAAGCCAGTGAAAATGGGGGAGGAGATGGGCACATAGCAACTAATTAAACTTTTAATAAAATGACTAGGCTGCCCAGGCTATGCATTTACTTATACATAATAAATGATTCTGTCCAAAATATAATTTATATTCTTTCTTAACTTATAGAACTATCATAAGGGGATGCTTTCTATGTCACTCACTGCGCATGCCCTGTGGAACAGCATATTCCTGAGACATTGATGGCCCCAATACTAATGGCCTTGTGCAAGGAATTATACAACTTGGCTTCAATTTGTGTGTGGCCTAGGCATGATGTGTGTGTGTGTGTGTGTGTGTGTGTGTGTGTGTGTGTGTGTATTATTCCCTTTGTGATTTTGTTAATTTTAATTAAATTAAATAAATCCAAGTTAACTGTAATTCAGATAATCCTCAAAAAACACAATATATGGTGACCAGTTGGAAGATCCTCATAATTAAGAATGGTTCAGAACCAAGTTTCAGCAGAATTATCTCTTGCTTTCAAGACTAGCATTAGCAACGCATCTCTATGGTACTTCTTGGTCCCTTTTCTTCGTGTTGCTGCCTTAGATCAGGAGAGAAAGAGTAAAGCAAATGCAGGCTATAGTTCCTTCTTGTTTTTCTGTTAACTGCTCCCTTCCTTAGGAGTAAACAAGTGAACATGCAGCAACAGAAAGAAGCAGGAGACTTGATGTACTGGCAGTGGGCCCCCTACTGGGCCGTGCATCTTGGCAAATGGTCAGTAACACAAGCCCTGTGGGTTAGATTCTTGGCTAATAAATATAAATAAGTATATCTCCACTTCAGAAGGAAATTTCAACATAGGATCTATCAGATTTATTGCTTTCTGGAATTTCTGAGAGAGAAAGCAGTAGCCTTAAGTACCAACAATCCTCTCCCCACCCACCCAGACACTGAATTGTGGATTTTAAATCTACAATATTTTAGGCTTACGAAGGAGTACAAAAAATGTTTAACAGCCTGTAAAACAAAGCTAAGTAAGGCTTCCTTCACACTCTTAGTTGCCAATGCTTTTGTAATCAAGAGGTGCTGATGTTAAAGTTCATGTGAACTGAGATGTGTTCAGATTTGGGTCAGCTGATGCCAGAGACCAGAAGGCATGAGGCGTTCTATCTTCTCCATCAAGAAGCTCAAAGGTGACAAAAGAGTTCCAAAAAACTGAAAGAAAGAAAAAGCTGTAATAAAAAATGATGCTGAAGTTAAGAGAGCTATTCAGAAGTACGTTACCCCAAACTTCGGCCTCTGAAGAAAAAACAGGAAATATTTTCCAGCCTATATTAGTGGACTTCACTGAGGATGGGAAATAGTCTAGGTATCACACTATAATAAACTTATCTCCTTTTCATTTTTTTTAAACAAAAGACTATAAATATTTGTGTAAAACTTAAAATTTTAGTTTGAAACATGCAATCCAATAAATGTGGAGAAATGGAGCAACTGGTACTTTAAAAATAAAGATTTAAAAATAATGAACCAAGCTCCCAAAATGTTCCAACAAACAGGAAGATTTAATCAATATTTACGGAAGTAGTAGGATAAAAATATTTTAATTACAGGTTTGTATGAAATTATGGCATATTCAGAATGTTAGGGTTATTTCTCTTAAAGTAAGTTAAAGTTAGTCAGTTTCATTACTTCAAACCTATCCTTATTAGACATAGACATTTTATGAAATAGTAATAATAGTAATCTTGATTTTTAGCCCAACTGCTAAAACTGTTATAAAAAATAGAATCAGGGATGATCCCAAGGAAAACTTAGTGGTTGGGGAAAAGGTTCAGCAAGTAGTCTCTGCTGATGCCTTCTTCCCCCCCTTTTCACCCCCCAGAGCCCTGGGGCTGGCTGATATCTGTGGGGAAATTTCCCTCCCCACCAATCCCCTTTTTAATTTTAGGTTTGAGATCAGGACTGATCCCCAGAAAATTTTGTGGTTAAATTCCTATAGGTGGAAAATTTTTTTGGGAAGGGGAAGCCAATTATCAAGGGATAATCAATCAATGGATTTCTTGTCTAACCTGATAAGCTGAGAGCCACGCCAAAACGAGTCTTCTCCGAGCAGAGACCAAGTTAAGAATGGACTCCACAGGAAGTGGGGGCGTGTCAAGCTTTGGCTACTTGGTCTCAAGAGCAGGCAGACAGAGAAAACCCATCCATGGATTATCCATCTCCTGTACTGGAGAATCTATGAATTTATTCAGCCATCATTTATTAATCTCATTTTTTCCAATCATGACTGCTGTCAGCAATCTGAGGCAATTAGTAGATCATACATCATAAAATTAATCCAGAAACTTAACATAGCAAAAAGTCATGCTAATATGGACATATTATCTGTAAGGCTTTGATGCAGAATTTTTTAAAAAGCTGACTTTATAACAATTTCACCATACTATCAACATACTACAACTCTTCATGTTTCAGAAATTATGCACCAGAGCAAATAAAGAATTATCAACCTACGGATGCCATTCTTCTCTCACATCAATAAAATAAATTAACATACAATTTATAAAGATACATGGAATTTATGGACCTCTACTTCAGATGGTTTAAATACAGGATTGGTTCATTATACATTTTAAGCCATATACATTTCTTGTAGATAAGCAAAAGCTTCTAATGTTTATAAATCTAAGATGTTCAGCAGCTGTGGAACAGCTTAAGTCTTCAGTGTCACTTAATGAGCTTAACAAAACAGTAAAGATATTTATTCCAGTTTTAAAATCAGATCATACAATTAAAAGGGCTGATTTTTTTTAAAGACTCAAGGATTACTATCTATTTTACATCTAAATAGAATCCAGATTTTTAAAAGAGTATGTGTTGAACCAAACAGATTAAATGGCAATTGGGTGACAATTTAGTATAAAACTAATCTTATTTAAAAAGAACACTTTGAGGAAAACTTGAAATTTCTTTTCGAAAAACTATTTCATACATGTTATAGCAAGTGGAAAAAGAGAAATCAACACAATTCTGTAAGACTTAAATTCTGTGACACTAAAGAAACTTAAGAGTTCCTCCTAGAACCAACAGACCGAAATAGAAAATATTAATGCAGATGTATGCTAGCTGTGAATTGATGTCTTCTGATTCTCACCAGCATTAAAAACTTCCACAATAATAAAAGCCCTGGGATTACAACTGGTATAGCTATACCTATAGAAAATTCAGGAAGTAACTCTGGATGTTCCTGCAATGGAGTAGTTGAGAAATTGAGCAAAGCCAAAATTAATAAAGCAAGCACTTGTTTTTTTTTTCCCCATGTCTATACAGCAGTATCAAGAGCAGGCTCTGAAACAACCAAGGAGACCTGAAGCAGGACATGGCTTCTTTAACTATATAAAAAGAGGTATTTCAAGTGCACTTTTCTCCAAGCATTTCCCAATGTGTATGGGTGTGAGAGTGATCGTGGCACTAGGATGATCCCTGCAAGAAACAATTCCAATATGACATGGAATCATACTCAAAAACAGAAATCAGTGTAAGGAAACACTCAATTTGATAGCCTGATTTTAGAAAAGATACTTTTCCCCCACTGCAAGCATTTTCTGCTGAAAGCCTCAGAATTCACATGTGTCCTGGGACCTTGGATCAAATGCGAGGTCAATTTAAATGTTGTGGGATGGAAAACAGAGTCTACACAGCAATACAATTGTTCTAATGTACTTTTGTCTTTAGTTTTTCATTAGTTAAATTAGGCACAGTTATTTTGGTAATTAAGACTTACAGTCTGAAATGCTACAAGAAACTGATCCTAGAGTTTGATAATTACACATATAAAATCATTAGAACTGAGACAGAACTCTTGTATATTTTTCCACAGTTTACAACATGTAGCACTGGTATACAAGAAAAACCATGCTGGCTTCTTAGAAAAATTGAAATAAAAGAATTGTAATGGAAATTAATCTGATATGTCATTAAATAGACATCTATCAAATGAATCGGTACAACAATCTGGAAAAAAACTGTTATTTTTTTTATCTAATATAACATTTTAAAAAATAAAATATATCAAACTTAATATTGATTAGTCTATAGACTCTTGAATTTTCTAAAATTATATTCTATTCAACTATTTTTTTAAAAAAAGTTGGAAAGCAGTACAACAAATTATTACATGATTATAATTTAAGTAAAGTAGGTCATAAACATCTTGCCATAATAGAATTCTATTTTGTTATATGCAGATGAGGCAGCCATTCTTCCAATCTCCTTTATGGAACTTAGAAAAGATCTCCAGATCTTTTGGTTTCTCTGGTGCTGAAGAAAAGTTCATTCTAAATTAACTAAAGACCAAGTCTTCTCTAAAACAGTAGCTCTTAATAAAATATGGCTCATGGATAAATGAATATGAAATACTACAAGCTAAAAACTTTGGATTCCTAGATGCTGTTTTATAGGCCTTCAGACTGGAGGGCAGTGAGGCATAGATTATGTATGCTATGAAGTTCATCCTGAAGTGTGTAGCTTTCATTCTCAGGTTTAATTTTCAAAAATGGTGGCTTTTATATCCCCCCTATAATTAGAAAGTTTCAAGGCAAGGCAGAATGTGGGCCTGTATCCCCAAGAACTTTTCCCTCTTGGAGTTTGATCTAAGATGTTGAAGATCTTTAGGATCCTTTGGTTGTCCCAGTACCACCTTTTGATTGAAAGTAGATATCAATTCAATCATAGCCTGAACTTCACTAAGCAAAATCAATCTTTGGCTTAAACTAACATTCTTCCCTGAGGGCCCAGACCTACTGACGCTATTAGATAATTTTTACTCAACTTGGAAGACCACCTTGGAGATAAAATTACAAAATACTGGCTTATCTATAACAGCTTTACATTCTTTGGCTTTTTCCAAAGCTAAAGAAATTGCCAAACAGCAAATAATTGATTTTCACAAAGATAGTGCTAGGAACTTCCTTTTTTTAACTTTCTTTTTTAAGATGGGGGACTAAAATAAACCTTTTGCCCTGGCTAAATATTAAAACAATCTTGCTACCGCAAAATATTGTAGGATCTTTGCCCTAGCATATTTTAACTTGTCTTCATTCTTCCTGGAAGATAATGTATTCATCTCAGAGGGAGGGTCTGTCCCTGTCAATCGGGAATAACTGAAACTATGGGCCATGTACTGCTGTGTTACTAATTTTATGAAGAAATTTATCACTTGCATTTTATTTTATTTCTAAGCACGTTCCCCAGTAGAATACATCCTACATTTAATTTCTTCTTGCAAATTGTACTAGTGATCTAACTTTAAAGTTGCCAAATTTTGTTTCAATTGGATTATTATTTAATTTAATTGGATACTGAATGATTGGAACACAATAACTATTATTCAATCTGATCACAAACAAAATATGAAATCTGGCAATTGTATTCGAGTATTTGTTATTTTGTTTTACCCTTTATTATTTTATATTACCGTAAATGCCGGCGTATAAGACGACTTCCGCGAGCGCTGAAATCGGCGCCAAAGACGGGGGTCGTCTTATACGCCGAGTCGTCTTATACGCCGGAAATACTGGTAGTTTCCGGCGTATAAGATGACGTTCTAGGAATGCGGCCCGGCTAGAAAGACGGGGGTCGTCTTATACGCCGGGTCGCCTAATACGGCGGCATATACGGTACTCTGAGTATGGTTGTTTGATAACATGGTAAAATATTTTTACAATTTAGTGATTTAGTCTTAAATATTTAATTTTTAGCATGTTAGTATTTTTCATACATTCTATTTTTTTCTAATATAATTAGAAATTTTATGGATTTCTATATGAAATCTATAAGCTGTATTTCACAAATGTGCACAATTCTGGTCAGGAACTATTATAAAGCTATTCTGTTCAACTGTAAGCTGAAAGAATAGTGGATCCTTTTTCTTTGGATTGGATACAAGTGCAATCACATCAATTTTTGAAAAATCAAAGAAATGAGAGAGGTGCTTTTTTAAAAAAAAAAATCCAGTTACACAAGGTAAACATGCAAAACAATGCTATATTAACAAAAGAGTAAATTGTTAATACAAGTAGTCCCTGACTTACAACTTTTCGTTTAGTGACCAAAGTTACAACGGCACTGAAAAAAGTGAGTTATGACAGTTTCTCACATTTACAACTTTTGCAGCATCCCCATGATCAAAATTCAGATGCTGGGCAACTGACTCATATTTACGATGGTTCCAGTGTCCCAGAGTCATACAGTCAATTTTTGTGATCTTCATATAAGCAAAATCAATGGGGGAGCCAAATTCACTTAACCACTGTGTTACTGACTTAACAACTGCAGTGATTCACTTAACAACTGTGGCAAGAAAGGTCGGACAAAATTCACTTAACAAATGTTTTGCTTAGCAACAGAAATTTTGGGCTCAATTGTGGTTGTAAGTCGAGGACTACCTATACATTACTGAAATCTTACAAAAAATATGTAACAATATACTGTATATGCTTCGTCAGATGATTAACTGTTATTTAGCAGCTCCAAGCAGCGCGGGAAATTCATTTTTTTAACAGAAATTTTGGAGAAATTAAAGTAATATTTACTTTTATTATCCTTTAAAAATACATTGTTTCCTTATCTATTATGTTATACATATTTGTTTGCACATTCATAAACCACTTCAGTCATGTTAGACTTTAATTATGTTTACATCACTGAAATATGGTTTATTCAGACAATAATAAGTTTAGTTTTGCCACAAATTTTATTAGTTTATAAAAATATAAAGTACAAAAATTCAAAGAAAAATGAAAATAGGGAAGTAAGGAAGAAGAAGGGGAAGAGGGAAAAGTCTGGGGTAAAAGGGAAAAATGAAAGAAAAGCATTGACTTCCAACTCTTTTTGTCACAGTAGAATAAGGTAACAACATGTAACCTCAACTTTTTACTTTAATAACATTTTATACTAAACATTTTTATAATAAATCCATCTAATCAGCAAGCCCTAATAATTATGAGTTTATTGGCTGAATGTACTTTAAAATGTATTCTTTCATTGAGGATAGAGGAACTGGATCTAAGCAATATAGTAGCATATCATATTTAATTCTTTAAAAAAAAGGCAGTTAGGCAAATTGTATAACACAGACATAAAAAGAACTGATTTTCAGATTTTCAGGAGGAATAAAGAAAAAGATTCTCATTTTGCACTTTCTTCTTTTATGGAAAAGTATAATCACAACTCATAGTACCAATCATCTGAATACTATGTAAACACGTGTGTATGGAAAAGGTCCCAATTCAGTTGAAATCAAGTTAGCATTAAAGACAAATTTGGACAAGTTTTAACTGAGCATAATTTTAATTTGTGAAAACAAAACAAGAAGTAACTACAAATAAATTACAGTGGTCAATTAAATGAGCTGAAGTAGAATAATGCCTAAGAATGACAGCAATTTAAATCTTGTATATACTCAAGGCTGAACTATGTTAAAGGCTGTGTAAGGATTAATTAGATAATTTGAAGCTCTTTGCACACAAGAACACAACAAAAACAAATGTTTTACTTGATAAATCTTCAGATTACTTAATAATAACCTGAATGGTTACAGGAACTGAAAAGCCTCAATATATATATTCATCTCTTCACACTAGGTTTTAAAAAGTGCATTAGAACAGCCATTTGAAGCATGCTGCACAAAATAAAATTTTCTTGGTGTTTAAGAATCAAATTATACTATACTAACACTAAAATCTAAACACAATTATTATATATTTCTAATTTGCAATGTGGGTAAAATCCTTATAAAGTAAACCAGAGGAACAATGTCACTGAAAGCTATCAATCAAAGCAAATTTACAGGATAGAAAAGTATTATAATTGATTTCTCTCAGGGACCTGTAGTTTATATCAACTCTAAAACTACTCAAAATAAAGGATTTTACTTCTTACTCTTAACTTTAATTGACTGCAAATTTCATAGGATAAAAGAAATCCATTTCCTTTAGCATTCAAGACTAGGGATGGTTCTTATAATTAAACGTAAGCAAATGCAAGTTATCAACAGGAAAATGTTCCATACCTTGGAAACAGTCATCAATAACTGTTTTGCATTGCTTCGTAATAAAGCTACCCCTGTTACTTCAGCTCTTAGGAAGTACCATCTAAGATGAAAGGAGAGAGATATCAGATGGTCCTTAACTGTTGCATCCTACTTGCATCTGTAATAAGGCTACATTAAGATGAAGACTGTTGTACAAAGACAGTATTCCATGTATAAGTTTTCATAGCATATAAATCTACTGCAGATTCACTTGTTTTGTAATACAGAACTCTAAGACACACTACTAGTTTTTCCCTCTTCATGTTAAACAACCATGCAGTTCAGTTATACTAACTCTACTTCCCAGTGGGGCATCCAAAGCTTCTGGAAGACAGGACTTCAAAATCTGAAGCCCTTTCCAGTTGAAACAAAAGTTGGCCAACATTTCTGTACCCCACTGGACTCCATTCAGTTCCTTTGAGCGACTCTGCCAAATCTGGGCTATTTGCTGTCATATTCCATTGTGCATACACTACAGCTATTAAAAGATTCTCTGTGGGTTTTGGCTTCTCAACAAGTTTTTGCAGTTTGGCTACAGTTTTGTCTGGCAAACTGATTGTATAGGAATCAAAGGAAATATGACCCAGTAAAAATATTAAAACCATTGCTATTCCACTAAATAAATATATTAAGTTTTGTTATTTTACAAGATTATACATCATAACGGTACTGATTAGCTAACTGAGATTATCTAATATGCCCACTTGAAATGTTTTTAAACTGAGAGATATAGTGGCAAGCTGTTTTTTTTTTTTTAAAAAAAATACAATTTGTATTCATGAGCAACTTGGAACAGACTGAGTATGTACCAACCTTTAAAATTTAGAACAGGGACAAAATCTTATGAGCTTCTTTCACACACAACCTTGACGGAAATTGTGTCTGGAATGATCAAATTGTGCTAGCATACATACCACTGAATTCAAATTCCCTCTCAGCCATGAACCTATAGTGATGTCTCAAAATTTATGAACTCTTTTGAATTTTTAATATTTTTGTATAAATATAGCCTAAACCATGCAATTAAACAAAAAAGTCAAAAACATTATACTTGTTCATTTATTTATTAAAGAAAGTGATCCAAGCTACACATTTCTGTGTAGCAAAAGTATGCGAGCCATACAACCAACAAATGGTTAAAGCAGAAGAAAGTTAATGTTTGGGAGTAGTCAAGTCAAAGTCCTGAGCATAATTCTAGAAATTAAATCCTTGTGGAAGGACCTGAAGCAAGCAGTTTGTATGAGGAAGCCAACCAAGATTCCTTAATTGAATCTGTTCTGTAAGGAGGAATGGGCTAACATTTAGAACTGATTATCAGTTGTCAGAAATGTTTAGTTGCAGCCCAGGGGGGCACATGAAAGGAAAGATTCACATACTTTTGCCACACACAATAATGCAGTTTTGGATCATTTTCCTCAATAAAATAATGAACAAGTATAATGTCTTTGTTTAATTAGGCTTTATTTAATTTTAGGACATGTGGACAACAGGTCATGTTTTAGGTCATATTTAGGCAGAAATATTGAAAATTCAAAACAGTTCACAAACATTCTAGTACACTGGGAATTAAGCTACATTTCATTTCTTGGAAAATGGGCAGTAATCAAATTCATCACATTCAACCAGAACAGTTTTTATCTAATAATTGTGGGGGGGGGACCCAAGCTCACTTTCATGAAATATAAAATCTATTTACTGTCCAGGTCAATAGCCAAATAATATGGAATCCATATTAAATCTGTTTGATATGAAACACAGGCCATAGCATGAAAATAAATAAGGAAGCAACAAAAAATAATAATACTGAGCCTGGTATGGGATGTCCTAAGGGGAACAATTACAGTGCAGGGTTTTTGTTTGTTTGTTTTTGTTGTTATGATTGCTGTTTTATTAGTTTTATGGTTGTTGTAAGCCATAATTTTTGTTTAAGCAGAGTTGCTTAAGATGGGTGGCCCTATACATCTTTTAAATAAATAAATAAATAAATAAATAAATCTTATGGTTGTCTTAATATTTAATTTAGCTTCAGAGATTAAAAATATCTAGCTGGATCTTTTTAAAATAACTGTGTGTGTTAAAAGTTCAACGTAGCTCCAACAACAGTTATTCAGCTGCTCAAGATCTTCTACATTTAAAATGCGTAAAGACAAAACCAACCTTAACCTTTTAGAAGATTGGAAAATGAATGGATTCTATCTATAACATCAGGGTAAAGAGAATTATGTGAAGCCTAGTAACTCACTATACCAAAAGGAACACCTTTTTAGCACACCTCTTACAAATAACAGTGCCTTTGGGGCACATTTCAAAGATTTAGTCTAAAACACTGAGTCCATAAACTAATTTTTGCACCATCACAAAGGTTAATTATCAACAGACCATACTTTTGTGACTGCAAAAAGCAGTTCAGACACAGTAGACCAACTGCTGTGATTCTAGGTCTCCTCATAGCCTCAAAATAGCCATAATACTTTCCCGAGACAGTGCACCATTTTAACTGGCATTCAAGAGACTTAAAAAACCAGTTTTAAGATAGGTACAACCTATGTATTTTAACTGACATCCAAATTATGAAATAACATTAGAAAATTAGATAAAATGCCAATTTAAGATTTTATTCCAGTTAAATAATGTTAACCTCATGGAAATGTCTATATGTTTAAAAGAGTCTTGCTAAAAGACAAAATTATTAAGAATCTCCAATACCTATTCAGTATACTACCCATGATATTCCATTATTTTTTCCATCCCACTTAATTTCTTCCATCCAAAACAATCAATATCTAGCGGCAAACCAATACAATAAGTTCTCACTGGGTTATTTTTTTGTTTACTAATTTTGAATAGAACTGGAAGGGACCTTGAAGGTCTTCCAGTCCAGCCCTCTGCTCAAGCAAGAGAACCTATACCATCTCAGAAAAGTGACTGTCTAGTTTCTTTTTTAAAATGTTTAGTGATGGAGCGCCCATGATTTCTGGGGGCAAGCTGTTCAACAGGTTAATTGTCCTCACTGTAAGGAAGTTTCTCCTTAATTCCAGGTCGCTTCTCTCTTTGATCAGTTTCCAACCATTGTTTCTTATCCTGCCCTCTGGTGCTTTGGTGAATAAGGTGACCTCCTCTTCTTTGTGGCAGCCCTTCAAATACTAGAATATTGGAATATCATGTCTCCCCTATTTCTTCTTTTCTTTAGACTAGCGAAACCCAAGTTCTGCAGCCATTCTTTGTATGTTTTAGTCTCCATGCCTTTGATCATCTTAGTTGCTCTTCTCTGAATTTTTTCCAAACACTCAACATCTTTTTTGTGATATGGAGACCAAAATTGGCTGCAGTATTCCAGGTGTGGTATTACTAGGGTTTTATTAAGTGGTACTAATACCTCTCATGATCTTGATTCTATGTCTCTGTTTATACAACCCAGGATTACACACTGCTGGCTCATGGTTAAGTGAATGTCCACTAGGACTCCAAGGTCCCTCTCACAGTTACTGTTTTTAAGTCTGGTCTTGTCCAATTAATAATCATAATAATAATAATAATAATAATAGTAATAAAGTTGGAAGGGACTTTGGAGGTCATCAAGTCCAACCCCCTGTTCAGACAGGTAACCCTATACCATTTCGGACAAATGGCTGTCCAGTTTCTTCTTAAAAACTTCCAGTGTTGGAGCATTCACCGCTTCTGGAGGCAGGTTGTTCCACTAGTTAATTGTTCTAACTGTCAGGAAGTTTCTCCTTAGTTCTAGATTGCTTCTCTCCTTGATTAGTTTCCATCCGTTGCTTCTTGTCCTGCCTTCAGGCACTTTGGAAAATAGCTTGACTCCCTCTTCTTTGTGGCAGCTCTGAGATATTGGAACACTGCTATCATGTCTCCCCTCGTCCTTCTCTTCATTAAACTAGACATACCCAATTAAAGCAACCGGTCCTTATATGTTTTAGCCTCCAGTCCCCTAATCATCTTTGTTGCTCTTCTCTGTACTCTTTCTAGAGTCTCAACATCTTTTTTACATCGTGGTGACCAAAACTGGATACAGTATTCCAATCTGTACTTACACCTTTGATTTTTCCTACCTAAATGTAAAACTTTGCTTTTCTCCACACTGAAACTCATTTTGTTGGATAGGGCCCATTGTTCAAGTTTGTCAAGATTTTTGAGGAATGTTAAATTTACACAAGCCCAAAATTTAAGGGAAAATTTTTACAAAATGTTTTATAGATGGCACCTTGATCCACAAAAAATGTCTCGTATGTATCCTGACTTACAGCCTAAATGTTGGAGATGTGGATGTTTGGATGCTACTTATTATCATATCTGGTGGTCATGTAAAAATATAAAAGCTTTTTGGATTAAGATATGGTGGAATATTCAAAGAATTTTTAGAAGAAGGGTAAAATTTACTCCACAACTGTTTTTGTTAGGTATTGTTTCTGATTGTGATACTAAAGAGACTATATTGATGTTAAATTTAATCACAGCGGCAAGGTTGTTAGTAGGGCAATGTTGGAAGAAGGAATCTTTGCCTACCTTGCAAGAGTGGTTTTTAAAAGTTTCTTATTTGGCGGAAATGGCAAAGATTTCGGCTTTCTTGAAAGACCAATCGCAAGAGAAGTATTTTTTGGTATGGAAAAAATGGATAGACTTTATACAATATAAGTTGGATATAAAAAAATATTATTTAGCTTTTCAATAACTTATACTTAAAATTTAAGATATTTTATAAACTTTTTTCCTTTTTCTTTCTTCCTATTTTCTTGTATTTCCTTGTATTTTTGTTTTTTTTATACATATATTATTGTTAACTAGTTTACAATTTCTTTAATTAATGTATTTAGATTTGTTTATGGTTTATATTTGTTTTAAGATTTTTTGAAAAAATATTAAGCCTGTATTCAGCTCTGGAAAGGTCGGGGGAGGGCATGGGAGGGTTGGGGTGGTTTGGGGGGGGAACCGTATTGTTTTGTAAAATTTAAAAATTTTCAATTAAAAAAAAAAGATTTTTTTGGATCCTGAGTTTGTCTTCTGGGCTGTTGGCTATTCTTGCCAGTTTGGTGTCATCTGCAAATTTGATGAGTTCCCCCTTTTTTTGCTAAATATATTTTTTCTATAAAACTCTAGAATTTAGTAAATATTTTGTTAAAGATACACACAGAATCACATTAAGATGCATTTCTTAAAGCTTCAGTGAGGTAATTTATTTTATATATATCGACTAATCATGAGAAATAATTGAATCCATAGCCTTATTAGACTTAGCATTTTTAAACTGTAATTACCCTTACTTCTGAACAGACATTGAAAAACTTACACTGTATCAATTACCTCAGAATTAAATATTTTTTAAAGTGTAAAAGTAAAGGTTTCCCCTGTCCAGTCATGTCAGAGGGGAGGACGTGCTCATCTCCATTTCTTAGCTGAAGTAGCCAGCTTGTCCAAAAACATTTCCATGGTCACATGGCCAGCATAATTATATGCTAAGGCGCATGGAATGCTGTTACCTTCCCTACCTATTTTTCTATTTGCATTTGCATGCTTTCAAATTGCTAGATGGGCAGGATCTGAGACAAGTAACAGGAGTTCAGCCCATTGAACAGTGCTCAGATCTTGATTCAAGCTGTCAGCTTTCCAGCATCTTTAACTGCACAGTTATCACACTCCGTTTTTAAAATATACGTAGCTACAAAAAAAAATTGTAGGTAAATAGTCTTTTTCTTTCATATAGGTGGTGGTGATTAAGTGATTATAAATAATGAAGTATGTCTTTTCTCAGAAATGTTAAATATGTCTGGATAACAACAAAAGTCATTACTACTTTAATGAAATGACAGCAGTACTAATCACACATGATTTTCCAATTCCAGAGCAAGACTCCAGTGTCAGAGCGAGCAGAACAAATGAGTTAAATCAATTTACATGTTAAAAATGAAAGCTGCAATCTTAAGATTTATCCAGAAGTTAACTGCTTTTAATTCTAAGTCTGTATGCATAGGACCTCATTGAATCATTTTTCTTTATTGAAAACTAATTTAAAGAAGGGGAAGGAAGATGTCTAATTCCCTTCCATTTTATAACAAATTACTGTTATAATTATAAAAAATATGGGAGATGATAAAACTGAAATTAAATAGAAATTTCAAAGAGGCCTTCCTGCTGTCTTTTTTGCCAGTTCTAACATTGTTCCGTGATGTTTTAAGCATCAATTTCACTGGAAAAGTTTGTTCAACAAGTAGACCTTTGAATGTCATTCACATATAAAATAACATATCAAAAAGCAAACATAAATCACTTCAAGCTTCAAGCTTTCTATACTAATAATTATCATATGCTATTTGTTAAAAGTACTGATTGTACCCATCCATTAATTTAATGGTAACTGTTAGCAGTCTCCTTCTGAACATAGTACTGAATTTTTTAAGGTTGGGGGCGCCCTCTGGAGCAGACTTGTAGCAACACAGAATGGAAGAAAGCAAATAAGCAATTATTTGTTGCTTGTTAATGTAACATTTTATCTTATTACACAATTTGACTGATATATCTTTTTGCTCTTTCTTCCATCAACAAATCAACATTTTCCTATAATAATTTTTAAATTTGGTGCTAACTAGATTTATTTATCATACAAACTTATATTAGCAATATCTAGTTAAAATAAAATACCGATTACATGAGAATTTGATACATGAAACTAGCAGTTCTGTTCAGTTTCAACATTTATTCATTACATTAACTGACTACTTGCTGAGGGACCAATTCTTTCCTTTTTTTTAAGCTTATATTTCAACATAGCTCCTTTTTGTTAATTTTATGTTTTATTTTATGGTACCATTTACTAATATGAAATCCTTCAATTTGTATGATAATTAAAGTTTGCTTTTGGGGTGAATTTTTAATAAAAATTACCATTGTGTCATCAAAACCCATCATGGAACAGAAACTAAACACTATTAGAGTGAATTGTATATTATTTTACTAACAATAATATGTACTAGTTTAGAGTCAAGCTGGTGCCATAAAATGGGTATCATGAAAGATAATTTTCAATTTTATTAAAAGGAAAGAACTCTTGAGGACAAGTCCAACTAAGTCTATCAATATAAAATTCATTATTAGATACTTACAACAATATTTTCTTGTTTCTTTTAAATTAAGGTGATTCTCCTGCCACCAGATTCAAGATTATGCAGGATGTTCATAGTTTGGAATACTAATTCTATTTTCCTAGCTAGTTCAATCCTGTTTTTCGAACTCTTATTTAAAAACTCATTGAAGTCCAGTATTTCTCACTGATTTGGATATAGTTGGGACAACAGTTTTACAATAATAGAAAGCGAAAAAGGAAAGTTTGGTTAAGAAAAAGTATTTAGAAATTCATACAGATGAAACTCTGAATCTACCCAAAAGTTGAGTCTAAAGTGATACAATCAGTTGGAGTTGGATGACAGGTGAAAAAAAGTCTCTTTTTCTCTCTTCAAGTTAACAAGTGTCAAGATTACCAACAGAACAAGAAAACGATACATAATTTCAGGTTTAACCAATTGTACAAACAATTTGAATTTTATTTCCAAATTTCAATAAATATATATTCTGAAAATACAAGTAAAAAATAGAAAAATTCTGCATGGTTCCAACTTCAATTAGTCTATTACATTATATTCTACTTGGGGAAGATGAAAAGGCTTGCAGACAGACTTGAATTTGTGGTAAGTAACATCTAGGTCATAGCACCATATTACAAATTCCATTCAGTTTCCCCCAAAAGTTTATTTAGTAGGCAATGAATGTCAAGAGAAAAAGATACAATTATTTATTATAATATATTTGTCTAATAACAGGAAGGGTTAAACATTAATTATTAACAAATCCTAAGTTACAAAAACTTTATTTGAAATGGCATAAGATTCCCAACTTTAAAATTCAAAAATTGTGACACATTAAACACTGCTTCTTAATTTAAGACGGCCTAAATGAACCTTAAGCTTTTCATCTGATCTTTAATAAATCTTTCTTTAAAAGGGAAGTGAGCAACCACAATCAATGTTCAATCAGATTTTTAGATGTCTGTGGCTCTGAGTAAAGGTCTGCAGACGAAGTTCTTAATTTCATTCAATTTCTGCATGCCTCACAAACATCTTAAGTAAACCCTGGAGTAGAGACAATACTTACAGCTTTAGCAAAAATGACCATGAGTTCAGGAAACTGATGTGTGAGGAGGGCTAACATTGCTGTGAAAGAACATAGCCCTGCTGTAAAATGGATGAAAAAAGGAAGATCTTTTTGGGGATACACAGATACATCATGAAATGCTGAAATAAATAAATAAAGGAAAACCAATTATTTGATGAATTAGGAATTTAAAATGATTTTATGTTGCCATATTTTTTTTCGTAAAATCATACTGGAACCTTTTCTATTATAACAACTATAATTGTATTCTTAAATTTCAATTTAAATAAAACATAGGAGTTGAAGACCAACCACTGTTGGCAAAGTTTGATCTAATTCTAAATAAAGATTTCTAAAGGGGTTGATTAAGAACAAGAATAAATTTTATCAGTCAAACTGCATAAAGTCAACAAGCTAAAAGAGGGTTCTAAAAAAAGGTTGTGAGTATCTTTTCTACCTTTCCTAAACTTTTTCTAAACTACACATGAAGAACATGCCAGAGCAGTTTAAATATTTGTAAAATATTTCAATTGCTATGACTATATATTGTGTCACTGCAGCTATCTACTGGGTTAGAAAACAACTTATAAGGCAATATTATCATGTTATAAATAATACCTATCCTTCATTTATTTTTTTATTTTTAATACTGAGTTTTATATTTTATTTTTATAGCTTTAAACTCTAATTGCATTGGGATTCATTTAATGTATTAAAGTTGAATTTAATATAGTAACTGAATGTTAAAATTGGGTTTTATTGACACAATTGTATTTTATTTTATTTATATATGTTGTTCTGAGATCTTCAGTTCATAAGGGATTTAAAAATCTCCAGGTTTTTCTTTTATATTATTACAGATGGAAGTCAGTATAAATTTCTGAACTTCTTTTTTAAGTCTCTCTACTTTAAACTAACAATAATTTTGTATCTTATATTATTCTATCCAAATAGAGATTTTCAATACATTTTTTTTAAAAAAACCTTCCTTTTTCAGGTAAAAAAGTAAGCAGTACTAATATTACATTTTTAATTAATATATATTGTTTATTAAAAAATGAATAGGCTACTGCAAGTAACATAAAACTGCTCTGTCAGTCTGATCTAATTTTATAATGCATTGTAACTCCATTGAGCGGACTGTTGCATTTTAAAATATATTTTGAGATCATTGTCCTCCATATTCTCACCATTGGTAATTATCTACTTTTGAGAAGAAGATATTATAAAATAGAAGTTTTGTTCAGCAACAATCCATCTATTTGTTTGCTTGTTTATGAAATTTATAAGGCTATCTAACTCAAACAATGTTACTCTAAGCATTTAGCATAAAAATCAAACAATAAACCAAAGAACAACTATCCCCATATCATTAAATATGTACAATATGTCAATAAAAAATATAAAACAATGCTCAAACAACATAATAAAACAGCCAAAAAGATATCCCAATTCAAGTGGACTTAATAGCTTTCCTAAAGGGAGCAGAGTTGGTGCCTTTTGAATATGGTTTGTGTGTCTCTGGGGGTTTTGGGGTGTGTGTATGTGTGTGTGCGCATGCGTAGATCATTAATTTGAAAACTCCCTAACATTTAATCTTGGCATTGAAACATATTATGTTTAAATACAAAGCTGGTCATAAATAAAATGAACAGGAATGCATGAGTTACTGTGTTGAAATGTCTGCATGCATAGAGTTTAATTATAATGGAAGCTTACTGCTTAGAATTATCCACTAGCCAAAGTATTCCTTGTGCAATATCCTGCATGAGTGAGAAATGAGTAATTTAAAGCAGTCTGGGGAATATTTTAATTAATTTTTAAGTACAGCTTTTTAAGATTTAATCTTTACCAAATAACATCTCTCCAAGTCTATCTATGGCAGATGTGTTCTTTGGCTTTAGTTATAAGCATTCCTTATACTTTATTTAAAAAAATAAGACTGCCTAAGTTACTATTTCATGGAACCTCAACAGCAACTACTATGAAACAATGCTTTATAATGCTTTACATTATGTGAAAACTTTACACCCAGCAACAGAAAAATTAGTAACATATTTTCAGACTACCTAACAACATCAGTCAATCTTTACAAACCTAGCAAGGGTTTAATTCATCTTTATGATAAACTGGAACAGAACTACAGTGCTGCAAACAAATATAACCTTTGAAGCCATTATTATACTTAAACGAACAGCATTCATTTAAAAGGAGTTTTTAAATTATCTGGAACGTTAGATATATGCATTTTAGAAATTATATATAAGAACTTTTTAAAGATATTATCTTCAAATCCATAATTAACTAACTTGCTTAGCAATGGAAATTCTGATCCCAGTTGGGGTCATTAGTCAAGGACTACTTAACTGAACAGCATAAAGGCACTATAGTTAGCATGAAATACTGCATATAGTATTTATATAACCATCTAATTTTTATCTGATTAAAAAGGATTATATAAAATCTACAGTTGACAAAACTGTGAGCAGTGGAGTCAATATCTAATATTCATGGTTCCATTTCTTTCTTTCATACATTCATGATTGTTTGCTTAGTTCCAGGGTAGTACATTATGTATTGCTTGTAACATTCAAAATATTGTAAGACTCAAAAGAAAGACATAGATTTGCATAACCTTAAATTATATTACTGAGTAAATTGTCTATGGTGGATAACAATAGATAAAATCCCTGTGCAGAATACTAATTATAGAAGGAATAGGTTTAGCCAATGGACTTCATAGCTGCATATGGTACTATAAAGGAATAAAGAACTGAATTTGAAGAGACTTATTTTAACGTAATTGTTGGAAATGTGGAATCTTCTAAAAACAAGAAAAAGTCCAGGGATCTTTGTGCTCGAAGTAAAGTACTTTTACTTCAATATATCCCCAATTTTCTATATGAAAGAGAGAGTTGGAAATGTCAGAAGAACATAGAAATAAGTTGAAATAAGTGAGAAGGGATTGCTAAAGAAATGGATGTAGTAAAACAAAAGAGAACAAGAAATAGGCAATGAATGAATATGCATACAAAAGTGAGTAACTTATACAAAATAAGTATGCTGAGAGGGCATGATCACAAAGAGGGAATACATAGGAATACACACAGACACACACAGAGAGAGGAATGAATTGCAATCTCTGTGTGTGTGTGTGTGTGTGTGTGTAAAAGAGAGGAAAGTCATGACTGGATGGAGTTAGCAAGGTCTTCTGAAAAATATATATAAGAATTTAAGGAGGGGAAAAGCAATATAAATAGCAGCATGTGGACATATTGAAACCAAGGATGGTTTGAAATGATAGAAAGACATAATGAGCTCTGTTGGTACAATAAGATGAATTTTAGTTTAATTTTATTTTTTATTATCTCCTTCCTCCAACCCTTTTAGTTATTACTTTTTATTTCCTTCCTGCCTCTCCAAAAATGGAGATGGAATCTTTGTATATTATTCTATACTATTCATATGTGTTCAGATTGCCAGTAGAAGCAGCAGCAAATACTAACTGAAAATGCCTTGCTATTAACCCAGACTCTGTAAAACAGGGATGTCAAACTCATTTTCATTGAGGGCCACATCAGCATTGTGATGCCCTCGGGGGGCCAGTTGGGTGGGCATGGCTCTGATGGTCACGGCTGACTGGGTGGGCGTGGCCACTTCAACGTTGCCTGTGGGTTAGGGTTAGGGAAGGTGGGGCAAGGTGAGGCAAGAACTGGGGCAGCTGCTGCCTGACACTATCGGTCCCAGCTCTCAGAAGCCAGCAAGTGCATGGGAGCCGAAAGTGTCCGTCAGCAGCCACAGCCTGCCGGCCCCTCAACCGGTGCACTCTGAGGCTCTGCAGCCAGCCCTCCAGCAGCAGTTGGAGTAGGGGAGGTGGAGGCATGTGATGCAGATCACCGGATGCGCCTACTCTGTCCCATCTGTTTCTGATTGCGATTGGAGAGCAGGTCACTGCTGGTCATCTCCTCTTGCCCTTGGCCCACATGTGGAGCCTATTCCACAGCAGCTCATGCAAGTCCATTAGGCTGTCGCTATTGCCCAGAGCAGCAGGCCCACCTAGCACAAAAGAGGTGAGGTGGCTGGCTAGGAAGCTCAAGTAGAGGTGGTAGAGCATGCCCAAGCCCAGCAAACAAAAGGCCACCCCAAGCAGGGAAAGCCGGATCCCCATCAGTGCCATGGCCATCCAGTCCCAGTCAGGATTGCCTGCTTCCCCATCTCTGTTAGGCCTGGGCGGCCATGGCGCTGATGGGGATCCGGCTTTCCGCATTTGGGATGGCCTTTTGCCTGCTGGCCCTGGGCATGACTTACCACCTCTAGTTGGGGCTTCCTAGCTGACCTCCTTCGTGCTGGGCAGGCTTACAGCTTGGGCGGCAGCCTAATGGACTTGCATGAGCAGTTGGCAGCTGGTACTGAGGTGAGCGAGGGAAATGCGGTCTGCCCACTGACCAAGGGCAAGACCCATGAGAGGGCTGAGATGACCAGTGGCAACCTGCTCTCCAACCAAAAAGAGATGGGACGGAGTAGGCGTGTCTGGCAGTCCGCATCACATGCCCCGTCTCCATGTGCTGCCGGGGCCACAGCAGCACTGCTACTGGACGGCTGGCCCAGTATTCACAGGGGGCTAAGCAGCCCCTGCTGCCGGACAGTTGGCCCCTGCACGCTCACCGCCTGTGTGTGTGCCTTGTGGGCCGCCAGGCTGGGTGGGTCGGGGCCAGGGCAGCGAGGGCCACTCACCCACCATCTCCAGGCCAAACAGTCAATCGCGAGCTGCATCCGGCCCACAGGCCTTGTTGTTTGACATGTCTGCTTTAAAACAATTAAACCCACAAGATCACTGATAAATTTGCAATTCCTATAGTTTGAAAACTTTGTTCAACAAATGCTTCAAATGCTTGTCCTGATCCAAGGATATGAGACCAAGCAATACATAATGTTATTCTCTTGAAGTAAGCTATCAATCAAGAATATATCAAAGGAAAGTTTTTTATTCTGTTCAGCTGAAATAAAAAGAGGGCTTCAAATATGCAGAACATTTATTGCATATTACTCTTACATCTTGGAAACAAAGAAATCTTGCAAGTTACTTTCATGTATTATTTTACAAGTTGTTGGACTCCAAATGCTATTAATATACAATTCTAACTTTTCTGATGACTGATTACTCAAGCCATTGCTAATGGAAATCAGAAGACCAAGAACAGCTTAAGGAACTAAGGTTCCTCACCATTCTTTATAAAGTAAAATTTTCAATGTAGAAAGGGAGCTGTACTGCAAAGACTGCACATTGCAAATTCAACATAAAGACTCTACTATAGCAGATCAATAGTGTTCTTCCTCAGTGTCACATTTAAAACTAACAATATTTAAACCTGCTGATATACTGAATGTGTTTGCATAGAAATACAGTGTACAAATGCTATACCTTAGATAAAGAAAAAAATGTATGAAAAAAAATCCACTTACTTGGTAATAACTCTCTGTCTGCTGTTTCTGTGCAACTGGGATAGGGATAAAATAGATGTCCCTTTTCTAACGGATATGGTATCATTCTAAATGCTGAAAAAGAGGTAAAAATAATGATTGGCATCAGATCATGGAAAACTGCTTTATAATTTCTACAAATTCATATATAGGATCTTGGTAAAGTCTTTTCTCAGTGTAAAGTCTATAAAAAGGTTACAAGGATAAGAAACTTGTCCATGAGAATTCTGAAAGTAATCCCAGTATAAAATACAATGAGATTTGACTAGCAGCCATAAAAAACATAAATGAGGGTTTCAAAATAGATATCTAACAGGAAAACATGCTTAGGTTTTCTTGAACGAACCTGCAATCAAACTCTTTATAAGCAATGCCATCATTTCCTCAGCAAATCCACCTTCTTCACAAACCGAATGGGATTTAAATATTGCAAATAGCTTGATATTTAACAGTAATCACTATGATCCAAATAAATAGGATGATGCTTTCTGACCTCTTTGATTTCAACACCTGCCTTCACAGTGACATCCAAGTACTGTTAGACAGGAGGGGAGAAGCCTCAAAATACCTTACAAACTATATTGTGTTACTTTGATATAGCGGCTTTGCCTTCTACATAGCCTAATGATGAATTAAGTACTCTATTCCACTTAGAAAAGCTTTGTTGGATGACATGATATAAACACAGCAATAACTTGCTATGCAGCTATTTTGAAAAAATATGCCATAGTGGGATAATTTCTATGTTTCTACATACTAGATTTTGCCACAATTTAAAAGTGAGAATTTCAAAGACTGTCTGGAAATTGTTAGTGAAATAGATGTTAAAATTAGTTTCTGATTCTATTTCTACACAGTTTATTTACAAAAATAATCATCTCCAGAAATCAGCATTTTCCTCTAAGTGTTCTGAAAACATAGGATGTAGTCAAAAAATATATTATCAAACATGGCTGCTTGTGATGGATTTATAAGAAATCTTCCATCTTTTTCTAGATTTACAACAAGTCTACAATGAAAATAAGTTTGAATTAAGTTTCCCATTAAAAAAGAAGATTAAATTCAATGAAATTTGGGGAGTTTGAGAATGTCATTTTATTTAAATGCATTTTATTTAGAAGCTTTAAAAACAGAAATGTGGAAAAGACTAATAAGTATCTGTTCAAAAGAGAAATATGATGAGTGAAGAGACATTTATAAATTCTTATTTTCCTTAGAAAAAAATAAACTTCTAAAGCTGACCTCAATTCCGTCTAAAGTTTGTAATGCAAACTCTAATTTACTATCAAGCTGTCGTTTACTATAAGCACCAACAGATTATGGCTTTAAAGTGTAGTCTACCACCATTAAAACAAACTGATCTATTCAAAGATCCTGCTATAATGTGTCAGAGCACATTTTATTATATTAGGTTATTGTATTGTATTAAACTAGTAAAAAAAAATAAGTTTGTACTACTGACAGAAGAATACTTACTGCCTTCCCATGTGCAGTGCAGCAAGTTAAGGGCCCCTTCTATTCGTTTCCAGTGCTGAAGATGGAAGAATGCGTAGGCTACTGCTTCACTGTCCCCACGCTTCAGAATGTGCTCAGGAGGCAAAATTAAGCTTTTCATTTCTAGCAAGTACTGGAAGAAAAAAATGAGAAGTGATGAGAAACTATACAGAACATTACACTTAAGTGTTTTCTTTGTATTTTTAATTTAGTTTAATCTTGATTTGTGTACGAGAAAGAGAAAGCAATAATTGTAAGAAAATGTGAATTATTTGGCAAATTCAAATTTAAAAAGGCATTTTTGTGAATCTTTCACAGTAGGAAAGACCATATCAATTTAATGTGGATATTTTATTTGAAAACAGTATTGTTTTGCACAAATCGCTTTGTGCAAAAGTCTGATAAAGATTTATAGTAGTGCCTCCAAAAATATTATCCTGGTAAAATTTTGATAAAACAATGATTTGTGTACAAAATAGAATAGCAGCTCAAGCAGTTTACTAGGGGTGTAATGCAAGTGTTAGAGATGATTATAAAAGTATAGTGCTTGCTCATTTTAGTTGGAGTTATCCATTTCCAAGTAGGTTTCAAATTAAAGGCTCCAATTCCTATGTTGAAAAAAGCAGCAAATTTAAAAACGGATGGTTTTGCTGCAATGTGCTTCCTCCTGTCCTAGTATTGCAACTGAAGATACTTTCTTATTGCGTTCATTGTTCATTCTAAACCTGAAGCAGAATGGAAGATAACTGCATATAATAAATTATTAATATAATAAATTATTTCCAAATAGTTAGAATTCACTTGTAAATGACACTCATAACTATCTCCTTCCAGCATTATTTTGGATTCTTTTCACCCAAAAACTACAATCATGCCCTGAAAATATTTTATGCATGTGAAATATGTCCTTGAGGAAAGTCCAAATATTTGTAACCACTCAATTAACTAATGTCTACAATTTATGAACTAGCCCATTCCATTTATTAATAGTTAAATCAATTTCATATTTGATAATATGAAGTATTAGGTACAATATTTGATTGCCACAAAACTCTAAGAACTTAGCCAAGTTGTTGCTTGCAGATACCACAAACAATTATTTAATAATCGAGTTTACAGAATTTAACTTTCCCCATTCTGGTTCTTGAAGGAATATAGCCAAAGCTGTGATGGTCAAACCAAATGCATTTACTGCCTGACTGATTCTTCTCTTAGTGCTTGAGTCAATTTACTGGAGGGCAATACTCTTAACTAATCCTATTTAATCCTTCTTGATTATTTTTTTAAACCAGTAAGGAATCATTCCACACTGTCATAGTGTGAAAGTAGCTTCAAATATCCAGCCTCTGCCATAATTGTTTTTAGTCCATGAAATTATTAGCTTGGTATTTGTTTATAGTTTTTAGACCCACAGTTACCTTTAATTAAAATAATATTTTAATCAAAGATAACAGTGGGTCTAAAAACTCTGATATGTTATTTTCCACAGCCTCTTGACATATAACTCACAATAATACAACAACTGAAATCTGAAAGATTTACTAGATAAGAATATAAAATTATTACTATGACACACTGGTTTTCTTGATATGTGATGCCAGTGAGAAGTACATAAAACATATTAATCTCCTCAAAGACACAGTAGTCCTGAAGAAATAGACAGACACCTACTGTAATTCTTGGATAATGATAATACATCCCAGTCTTCCACCTAAAGGCAGAGGCTAGAAAAAATGAGACTGCCTGAAATGAACTTGCTGTACTTTTGATCAGTCATGCAAGGGAGCAGAAAATCTTTGTAACAATTAGCTCTCCCAATGCATAATCAAGGAAAGAGAAGACTAGATGAATAAAGTCAAATCTTCAAGGAAAGAACCATTTGGACACCCTGATTATCATAAGAGGATTAACTCTAGGGATAAGCCATCCTTCTATTACTAAGGCTACAAGGGTAATATATTATCAATGATCAGCCATGGCTATTTGAAGTTCTAATTACTGTATACACATTTACTTAGGAAAAGATGAATTGGGCATAACATTTCTCATTTTTTTCCCATTGGGCAGTACGAATTTTACAGACAGGCTTTAATCTGTTACAGTTCTATATATTAAAATAAATCTAAGTATTTCAAGTATGCTCACTGTAACAAAAATAATTAAGAATAATGTATTTATATAAATTATTTTTATAGTTCCCTTATACAAAGGATAGAATCCTTTGCTTTACATATTGGGATAACCATGGAACTTCCAATGATAGAAAGAATGCTTTTTCATAATGGTTATGAAAAAGTTATGGTTACTGGGGTTTACAATTAGTGGCCCACTTGTAAATGTAATCATATATACAAATCATTCAAGATTTTCTTGTGTCTGTTGCAGACTTTGCAACAAAATTATGCTATCATAACTTTAGTGTTTCTTTAAGAGTTTGGAAGTTTGCTAATTGCTTAAAGATAAATTGTAGCCTGTGACTGATAACTTAAAAATGAAATGCTATAAATTATATTACCTATTTAATTGTATTAATAACACATCATTAACACAGATATAAATACAGTTGCAGAACTATGACTTGAAAGTAAGTTAGTCTTGCCCCACTAGATGGCAGCACCTAGCTGTCTTTGACTAATCTCATAATAGTAAGAGGGGACAGAGATCACAAACAGTACAGCCCAAAGCAATGAATGGTAAACCTCCACTTTTCTGTGTGCACATCTATTATATCACAACCTTCCATTACAAATTGCCCACCCATCTAACCTACTATAGCTCCAACCTTTTCACCTTTTTATACACTGTTTTATACACACCTTTTTTATGAAATTTTTCAAAAAATAAAAACCATCTTAGTTGGTAAATGGATTAAGAAATAATAAATGTATGTTACAAAAGCTGAAGAAATTATCACAGGCTTTTGTTTAATTACTAAATTTGAAGCACTTTTGAAATAGAGTGCTTTTCAAGTTAAATTCTGACTAGGTCTGTTAAAATGAGTTTGATTGTAAATGGTAATATTATTATTTTTTTAATATACATTTTATTGGTTTTTTTAATTTTAACATCAAAATGTTCAAGAAAACACCGTGGTGAAAGGGTATGGCTTGTTTTGTTATAATTGATATATAACTCAAATTAATACCTTAAAAAAATCCCCCCTCTATTTCCTCACATAATATAGCAAATTTAGTTTAATCTATTTCTTCTTAAAATTCAATCAATCCACAGAATCATCCCTACTATTCCATCTACATAAATCACTCCTGCTTTTAAGCTCCACTAATTTCAATTAAAATATTCCAATTGATCTTAAACAAACATATTAATAAAATTTTGGGTATCCCTTCTAAATACATAATATTCCAAGAATAACATTCTAATATTTTCACATATATTCCATCTCTTAATTTGATATATCATTAATACCCTTTCTTCTCTTATCGTAGACCTCTCTAATTCTTCTGCTATTACAAAATAGTTTTCTATATAAACAAAGTAAAAAAAAAATCATTTCGACCTATTAAGTAAAATTTAACTCTCAACCAAATTAGATATCGTATCTAAGACAGACATATTATAAATGGTAATATTATTATTGATGTTAATATTTATACTGTTTTGTTTTTCTGCATGAAAATATTACCATTGCATAAGTCGGATCAGCAAATGTTTCTACATTAGCTCTAATTCTGCTTCCAGAAGAGTTGCTGATAAATTTTTCACACATTTAAGGAGTTACATACTTCCAAAATTCCTTTATCAATACTGTACCATTGCACTAACAAGAGTTAAATAGCCAATTTGTAGAAATATTTTGTGGCATCATTTATTCACCAGTGAAGGACACTTTATTTTGTTTTGTTTTATCTTCTTGCATATTTCTCCTAATACTGATGGGTGATCTTGAGCCAGTTACTCCTTCTGATCTTATAGGAGTGTTGTGGTAAAAATAAGAAGAGAAAGGAGTACTATGTATGTTTGCTGCCTACAGTTATTTATAAAAATAATAGAGGCAGGAAAAAAATAAAACATGAAATTTGTACTGTTTTGCATTTTTTGTGAGTAGATTTTCCTGCATAATTTCTACAATTAGCCATATATTCTAGGAAACGTGACTAAAAAAGTATAATATTTGGAAAGGTGAATAATAAAGTAATTGTATTTTGGTTCTTATATTGGTACAAAGATCATATTTATGTACAAACCAAATTACTGCCACATCACATCACGGCTGTAGATAACTCTATGAAACATAAGCATGCTATGCTTGTCTTTCACTCATGGGCATAGCCCTATTTCACCAACATGGACAATGAAAGATCTGTGCATGTTCCCCATATTCTCACTTATCTACAAGAAATCCGTATTCATGGACTTACTTTGGAGTTAAAAGGGGCATCAGAGACATAAAAAATTAAGAAAAAGACTGAAAGAAATATGTAAATTTCCCTTTTTTATTTCCTGATCTATTCATTATATAATAAGAAAAATGAACATATAGTAGCACATATATTTTTTAAAAATAAAATCCATTGAAAAATGCCTGATGCAACTTTCAGCCAAAACAAATAACACACCAAAAAAAAATATATTTTAAAAGAACATTTCTACCCTTAGATAGCCTAATGCCAACTGCATAATTTTCAAATGTTTCTTTAAATTCTTGCTTATCTATATTGGGATTTAAGCTCTAGCTCAATACTCTTTTGAACTCTTTGGATATGTCAATGAGAGATAAACAATTCCTAAGATGGGAGGGATTGATGCACTGGTAAATACATTCTTGAGAGAAGGAGCTACCTCACCAGTCTCAAAAGGGGCAGTGTTCCTCCCAACCCTAAGAAATCTTTGCTTGAGTCAACAAAATTTGATGATTTTTGTCCTACTTTGATCTTAGAAGGTAATCAGTTTTCAGTTCCAAAGAGTCCTAAAGGAAGCAGATTATCCAGAACCTTTCCAAGTCTGATTTCAGACTGGGATATAGCACTAGGAAAATACTGGTTATGCCTGCACACAGGCCTTTCCTGATAATTTAATAGCCTTTAATGTTAGAGAGTGTTATGGTGGTTCTACTTCTTCCTAATGCTTTTTACCCATATTGTATCCTGGATTTGATCTGGTGATTTTAATGGTCTTTATTGTAAAGTTGTCTATTCACACAATAAATGGCATAATCGCATTTAGTTTGATAGTGCTTTCATGATTATTTAGCCTTCAACTTCAGTTGACTAAACAGTATTGACTCACAATAAGACAATATTTTTCTACAGTGATGTAGTTTGGAACTGGACTTCCTATACTTTCAAGTTGCCATCTATTATCAGCTTATATCTGATTAGATAAGTAGCTTTCCCTCTGTTAATACGATCAGCTATCAACAGAGGATTGGATTATTTTGCTTGGCACTGTTATGGCATAGTGTGAGCAATCTAATGTTGAAGCTGGAGAAGCAGCTACTATATAATGGATGCTATTCTCCCTACTGAGCAGCTATTCACTCCTCCTTTCTATCATTTCAAAACTAAAATGTTTTAATTGTTAATGACTACATGGCTACGCAAAGGAATTCCTAATTAAAGTTAGGAATTCCTAACTAAATCCTTCCTTTCAGGCATGTCTGAAGAGTTATTAAGATTGGTTGAAACATTCTTCTCTTATAATTCTCCTGCTATGGCCAAGTGAGTCCCTTAACAGAAAGGCTTAGAAGGTCTTCAATTAGATAGGCTGACTAGCCAGATTGATAACAAAAAAGCGTAAACCTTTTCAGAGATCCAATAAACAATGTCTCTTTGCTTCATAATCCATAACAATATTCTCAGATATTTGGGAATAACTTCTATGAAATTTATTCAACTTCTATTTAATGCTATATGCATCCAGTTACTCTCCCGCTATTTATTTGTGTGTTTTTTACTATATTACAGATTCATAATATTTTCCTAATAATAGTTCATGCTCAATATATTATGTAGAAAAATGATTTAAAAATTATAAAACACAAACTATTTTGGTATTTAGAAGATCAGTGAAAATAGTTTTATTTCACTAAGCTTTCAAACTTAAGTTAAATGTTATTGGCATTTAATCAACACTTGTCTGTGGCAGGAGGCAAAGGATGGTTAGGGATGTACTTACCTTTGGTACATGAGGGTTAAATTCTACTGCTCTATGTATTGCTTCTACAGCATTAATTTCGGCTGTGCTAAGTCCCCTTCTAGAAGCAGTTTCTGGAGAAAACCTATAGCAACATTCCAAAGTTTGTTATATAACAAAATATGATAGGAGCAAAAGTTCAAATTAGTAATATAAATATCATTATACCAGAAAATTGTAATCCAATAAAGAATTAAGCACTGTTTCTACTTGTCAGATAAAAATGTATCAGTATCTCAGATACACGAAATTTTCCTTGCCTCACAAATTCCACAAATATTAATAAAGATTGTTTAGCTTAATATGTTATAAGAAACCAACCATTGTTGTGTATTAAGTATGGTTAGTGTGTTGTAATTCTACCTATTTATGGCTATCCAATAGGTTATTGAATAAATACCCATTGAATATCCATAAATAGATGGAATTGCAAAACACTAAATAACCCAATATACAGCTGAACTAGCCAGGAAAGCTAAATCAAACTTAATTTCTAATTTCTCTATGTAGTCCCAACCATCTACCTATATCCACAGAAAGCAAAATGGCACACAAAATTTTAGGTGTAGCCTCCAAAGTTCTCCAAAATTTTCTTCTGAATTTTAATTTTAAATATATGGAGAGTATTCATATCCACTATTTAAGTCATTTTATTTACATTTACATTTAAGCAAATCAATTTTATGTTAACCAAGTTTTATCCCCTTTTGAACGTTGTTCGCAGCATTTCACTCAAAGAATATATGTTATCCTTGACTTGAATAAGATGGTATACCTCTGTCAAAGGCCACTGCTAACTCACAATAAGAAATTAGACAACCAAATATTTGTAATTAGCTTTGTCACTTCCCATAATAAAATTTTTAAGTGGTTGTTTAGAACTGAATATTATGGGTATCTATTATATATGGCCACAACTGAATTCATCTGCCTATATTGCATATATTCCAATAGGAGTAAGTTAGTAGGAAAGTAAGGTGTAATGACAAACATTGGCTACATTTTCCTCTTTTTTTAAATGTAGCCAATCTTTTGTCATTAGATCTTACTTTCCTACCAAATTACTCCTATTGGAATATATGCAATATATAGGCAGATGAATTCAGTTGTGGCCATATATAGTTGATACCCATAATATTCAGTTCTAAACAACCACTTAAAACAACCATTTGAAACAATCACTTGTCCTCTTTTTTAAAAAAAAGTGGACAAAAGAAATTTGATTTATGTTATCCTTTATATCAGCTTGGAAACAAAACTGCCATGATTTTTCATTGAATGTAACAATGAAAACATGTTATAACTGCTTTATTTTATATCAATATGCCTATCAAATATTTCACTTACCTATCTGAAACTGCTCTTGCTTTTAAGAGTGCTGCTGTGTAACATATTGCTGCTGATTTTGGAAGACTGATATCTATGGAACAATAAATTGTTGTCTTTAGATCCTAAAGTAAGTAACATTTCAGAATCATTCCTTCCCCAAACAGCAATTTATACAGGAAATTATCTATATATTAGATATATGAGATTAAAATCTGAAAGACAAAAATCAATCATATACTTCTTTCTAAAACCCTAGTAAGACCACACCTGGAATACTGCAACCAATTTTGGTCACCATTTTACAAAAAAGATGTTGAGAGTTTGAAAAAATTCAGAGAACAGCAACTAAGATGATCAAAGGCCTGGAGACTAAAACATACGAAGAATGGCTGTGGGACTTGGGTTTGGCTACTCTAAAGAAAAGAAGAAATAGGGGAGACATGATAGCAGTATTCCAGTATTTGAGGGGTTGCTACAAAGAAGAGGGGGTCAGATTATTCTCCAAAGCACCAGAAGGCAGGACAAGAAACAATGGCTGGAAACTGATCAAAGAAAGAAGCAACCTGGAATTAAGGAGAAACTTCCTGACAGTGAGGACAGTTAACCAGTGGAATAGCTTGCCCCCAGAAATCGTGGGCACTCCATCACTGGAGATTTTTAAAAAGAGGCTAGACAGTCACTTTTCTGAGATGGTATAGATTTTCCTGCTTGAGCAAAGGGCTGGACTAGAAGACTCCAAAGTCCCTTCCAGCTCTATTCTATTCTAATTCTATTGTAATATTTCTACATTTAGTATATTCATCCAAGGTACTATTGCAATGAACATATTAGATTTGTGCTGGATTGATTGCTTTTACAAATTTATATAGCCACATATCTCACAATGAAACTCTGAGTGATGAATAGAATAGAATATAAAACACAATATACAACACAATCATTTAAAAAATTAAGTTGAGGCCACTATAAAAAGCACCTTATCAACATGTCCCTCTAAAGGCACCAGGCTCCATTAATTCCACTGGCATCCCTACAATAGTGCCTAGTGTCAGAACCCATATCTGTCTGATTTCATACTTCCCTTGCTTCTTCCTCTGATCCAAATTCCATTCTCTTCTCTCCCTGGGTTCTGCCATAGTCCTAGAGAGGGGGGGGGGAATGATCGAGGGTTTATTGCCTTAGCTTCCTCTATTGCTAAAATGTAACACTTCACTTTCCTACACTATTTCTCTCTGTAAACTCCCCTCTTTAAACTGTCAACTAGAAAAGGGGGAGGTAGAAAAGAATACAGCATCCGGCAACCGGCTTAACTCTTAGCTCTCTAGAGAAGGTGACCGTTGCAGTTCCAACCAGAACCGGCCTGGTGTTATCTTTCCTTTCCCACGATGGACTTAACACCTGGAAATTGGCCGATTTGAACTGTCCAGACTCCAGATGAACTATGGGGTGGTGTTTGCTTTGGGACACTTTAAATCACCAATCAGAGCAGGAAACCTTCAGATCCTGTCTAGTATGGCTGCTATCAGCCTCTCCTAATAAAAATTCCTTTTGGAAGAGCTTGCTTCCATGAATTCTGCTTTCTTGGGATGAGGTACTGAAGCGGGTGCTGACACCTAGGGTAAATCAAGTCTTCATGGCTTTCCAAAAGCCCCTCAGGATTGGGGCCTTCCAAATCTATAGGACAAAGCTACTCCATAAGGCAGGTACTATAATCAAGAAACCTGGTTTCCAAGAACCCATCAGGTGATACCACTTTACCAAGGGAACCCAAAATATGCCCCACTCTATTGGATTTAGTGCAGAGGTTTTCAAACTTGGCCCTTTTATGACTTGTGGACTTCAACTCCCAGAATTCCTCAGCCAGGCACATACTGAGGAATTCTGGGAGTTGGAGTCCACAAGTGATAAAAGGGTCAAGTCTGAAGACCCTTTAGTGTAAGAGAGAGAAATCTTTTGCATTGCAATCATGCAAATGACCTTACCCCATGTACTCTGAATTAAATTCAGAAGCATACTGGGACCCAGCACAGATAATCTGGCAGTAGTGTTTTCATGGGCCCTCCAATGTGCTGCATCATTCTGGACCAACTAAAGGTTCTGAATGCTTTTTAAGGGTAACCCCATGTAGCGGGGACTGCAATAGCCCAACTGCCAGGTGATTAGGGTATGAGTGACCATGATCAGTGCCTCCCAATCTAGGAATGAGTGCAAGTGGAGCATAGCATACATTTGTGCAAAGGCCTACCTGGTCACAGCTTCCACCTGCTAAAGACACTAGTTCAGAAAGATTCCAGATCAAGCACCATATCTGAGTAAGTGTTATCCCATCCAAAACTAACAACGGAAGATCATTAGATTCATGGCGGAAGCAAGGCTTAAAACCCACAGCTATTCAGTTTTGAACTAAAGAGATTCAAGTCCCAACTTGATCACAGAGTTCACTAAGTAACCCTGAGCAGTCATTTTTTCTGTTTAACCTAGCTCACCAGTTCGTGGTGTAGAAATAAAAATTACAGGTAGTCGAGTTATAAGTGTAATGGAGCCTGCAATTCCATTCATAACTTGAAAATTTGTAGAATGAATCTCATATCTCGAATGAGATTATTTCCTTGCTCGTTAAAACGCAGTTGACAAGTGCATATGAGGTATATCAGGGTGGGGAAGGACATGGGGGGGCCTAGTGATGGAACAAGCCCCGAAGGCCTCCTCGACCCACTGAGATACCTCATGCTTTCCCCTCCCTGCTTGCTGCGCTGGACTCACTTGCCTTGAAAAGATCCATTGCTCTCTGCCGTGGTTCCGCTTTTGAGGGACAGGAGAGTCAATGGAAGCCCCTGGGTGCCGTAATATCACACGAGGTCAGGCACCAATCCTCTTTCACAGAGAATGGGTGCCTGAAGTCTCGCGCTGTTTGCAGTGCCTACCTCCTGCTGCTCAACTCCCGAGCAACATGGCTGCCGCCCCCAGAACAGAAATGGGGGGGACCTTCTGCATGCCTCTGGAGGTTGGATCCAGCCCTCGGAGGGGTCTTCCTAGCTGCATGCAGAAGCCCCCCCAACCTCCATTCTGCGCTGCTTGGAGGCCTCCGAGGTTCTGGGGACAATGGGATCACTTTCTCCCCCAGAGTGGCGAGCTCCACCGGGCTGGATGCAGGTGCGAGGGAGGGGCCTGGCCTTCTCCCTCAGTTGAAGGCTTCAGGCCTGCCATGAGGCAGAAAGAGTTGGGGGCAGGAGCAGGAGACAGGTACCTTTCACATAGAGAATGAAAGTTTCTGAGATCCGTGATTTGGTGCAACTTCCAACACTCACAAACTCCAGAAACTTCCATTCTCGGCACGACAAACATTTCCAAGCCGAATCTCCTCTCCCTCAAAGGGAAAGAAACCGCAGCAGAGAGGCTTTTTGCAAGGTGAGTCCAGTGCGGCAGGAAGGGAGGGAGAAGCAGTTGTGAGGAGTGTGTGGGGGGGGGAATAGGGCAAAAGTTGCAGCATCACTGAAGTCGCTCGTAATATTGCAGCCCTTGTGCTGCAATATTCGTAATTTGGAGACTTGCTCGTAAACAATAGGGAGGCGTTCATCACATAACTTCAAACAAACATTACGTGAACGCTCTTAACTCGGGGATTACCTGTATAAACAATCTTGAGCATCCAAGAGAAAAGTCAGGACATAAATGCAGTAGCAATAAATGTAGTAATAATTACTAATGGGTTTCTACAACAAAAATTCAGAGATCCAAAGCAGTAGACCAGTGGTGGCGAACCTATGGCACATGTGCCAGAGGCGGCACTCGGAGCTGTCTCTGTGGGCACACACCGTCACCCCAGGCCTGCCTCCTCCCGCAGCCCCATCCTCACCAGCAGCCCCCTGGAGGAGAGTCGGCCCTGGGCACAGCCCGCATGAAGCAGTGCAGCCAAGGACATAGCTGGCAGCAGGGACAAGATTCCGCCCTTATGTCCCATAGCATGTAGATGATGCTGCAGGATGTGGACGGAAGCGTGGCTGCCATGGCGCTGCAGGGCTGCCTGAGTGATCTGCTGTGATGGGCCATGGAGGCGGTGTGTGGCCCTGCGGTTGGGCGGGGCAGGGGGTGGGTGGGGACAGAGCAGGCAGGGCGGGAGGCGGAGCGGGGGGCGGTTTTTGGGCACTTGGTGTCTAAAAGGTTCGCCATCACTGCAGTAGACCTAAGGAACTTTTGTTATGTTAAGTGATCTACCTAAGAAGTAAGGACTTTACAATAGTAGGCCATATATAGTTTTAAAATAATGTTGTTATTATTTGAATTATAGGTACAACAATGAAGTGCATGATCTATATTTTACTCTTTTGAACCAGTTGCAAGTTACTATTTTGTTTCACAACTTCACATTATCTATAACTTTTATTTTTCTGGATTATTAAAGATCTACACAGCCAGTGGTTTTGCTTCATAAATATGTGTTCCCAACATTCATTTACGTACAACAACTTTCTTTACTTGAAACAATCACCATCACCTAATCTCCTACACAATCTTTTTACCCCTCCCATTTCCACTGTTTATTGCCAATGCAGAAACATAAACTCCATAATTATTATACATTCTTACCATCATACTTTGCTAGAACTGCCTGGACATCAGCATAAGCCTGTAACTCCAGAAGTGTTTCTAGGAGGTTTTCATGGATATTCAATACACTTAGGACAGGAAATTCTTTCATTAACTATAAACAAGGGGGAGGAAAATATTTTTATGTACAATTATAGTTTTGGTAAAAATGAGTGTAGAGTGCGGAAATCTAGACAATATAAATTTGCAAGGTTTTTATTTAGTGCTAGAAGCTGAGAGACAGAAAAGGGTAAGCAAAAGTTCTTTCTAACATGCAGCTATACCACATACAAGCCCAATCAGTACAAGACAAAAAAAAGCTGTGATTTCATTTAACCCAGCACTAAGTCACAAAAACCCAACTCAGCTCTTAAAACAAGCAAAGTCATCTAATTAGAAAAGTCCTAGAGTGAATAGAGTGAAGATGACCTGAAATGAATCCAGATAACCTTTAATATCCAAATAAATCAAAAGTAGAGGCCACCATAATCCATAATAACTTTTTAAAAATATTTATATGCAATAATGGTGCACAACATACTGTGAATTCAAAAGTTCATTTTCAAGTTATGAAGACTGTAAGCTGACAACAGTCATTTTGACTGTGGCAGATAGAAGTATAATAATTTCAAAAATTGTTATTTCAAATTAATTACATCTCTTTCATATTCAGAACTGATTAATTTATAATAATGATGATGATGATGATGATGATGGAAGGGACCTTGGAGGTCATCAAATCCAACCCCCTGCTCAGGAAGGTAACCCTATACCATTTTGGACAAATGGCTATCCAGTTTCTTCTTAAAAACTTCCAGTGTTGGAGCATTTAATGCTTCTGGCGGCAGGTTGTTCCACTGGTTAATTGTTCTAACTGTCAGGAAGTTTCTCCTTAGTTCTAGATTGCTTCTCTCTTTGGTTAGTTTCCATCCGTTGCTTCTTGTCCTGCCTTCAGGCGCTTTGGAAAATAGCTTGACTCCCTCTTCTTTGTGGCAGCCCCTGAGATATTGGAATACTGCTATCATGTCCCCCCTCGTCCTTCTCTTCGTTAAACTAGACATACCCAATTCCAGCAACCGTTCCTTATATGTTTTAGCCTCCAGTCCCCTAATTATCTTTGTTGCTCTTCTCTGCACTGTTTCTAGAGTCTCAACATCTTTTTTACATTGTGGTGACCAAAACTGGATGCAGTATTCCAAGTGTGGCCTTACCAAGGCATTGTAAAGTGGTATTAATACTTCACATGATCTTGATTCTATCCCTGTTAATGCAGCCTAGCACTGTGTTGGCTTTTTTTGGCAGCTGCAGCATACTGCTGGCTCATATTTAAATGATTGTCCACTAGGACTCCGAGATCCCTCTCACAGTTACTATTGAGCAAGGTACCCCCTATACTATATCTGTACATTTGGTTTTTCTTGCCTAAATGTAGAACCTTGCTTTTTTCACCATTGAATTTCATTTTGTTAGAGCCCAGTTCAAGTCTGTCCAGATCTTCCTGTATCTTAAGCCTGTCTTCTGGAGTGTTGGCTATTCCTGCCAGCTTGGTGTCATCTGCAAATTTGATGAGTTCCCCATCTATCCCCTTGTCCAAATCGTTGATGAAGATGTTGAAGAGCCCTGGGGCACCCCACTACACATTTCCCTCCATGTAGATGTGTTTCCGTTGAGGACCACACGCTGAGTACGGCCAACCAGCCAGCTACGGATCCATCTGGTGGTGATGCTGTCTAGCCCACATTTTTCTATCTTATCTAGTAGGTTGTGATCTACTTTGTCAAATGCCTTACTAAAGTCCAAGTAAATTATATCCACAGCATTCCTCTGGTCCACTAATTTTGTTACTTGGTCAAATAATGCAATAAGATTTGTCTGGCATGATCCGTTTTTGACAAACCCGTGTTGGCTTTTAGTAATGACTTTGTTTGCCTATAGGTGTTCGCTGATTCGTTGTTTGATTATCTTTTCCAGAATCTTCCCAGGTATTGAGGTCAGGCTAATAGGTCTGTAATTTCCTGGATCCATTTTTTTCCCTTTTTTGAAGATGGGAACTAAATCAGCTCTTTTCCAGTCCTCTGGTAGTTCCCCAGTGCTCCAGGAACTTTGAAAAATATAGTTCAGCGGTTCTGAGATCACATCTGTCAGTTCCTTGAGAACCTTGCGGTGTAATCCATCTGGTCCTGGTGATTTGAACTCGTCTAGGCTGGAGAAGTGCTCACTTACCATTTTCTTGCCTATCTTAACTTGTATTTCTATTCTGTTTTTTATGGCACTATTTTTGATAGTTTCCCTTTGTGTAAAGACAGATGCAAAAAACAAGTTAAATAGTTCTGCTTTCTCCCTGTTGCTTGTCACCTTCTTAACACTTTCACCCACTAATGGACCAATCATTTCCTTCACCTTTTTCTTGTTTCTTACGTGCTAAAAGAAGCTTTTTTTGTTATTTTTGACTTTGGTTGCAAGCCTTAGTTCATTTTGAGCCTTAGCTTTCCTCACTTCGTCTTTGCAGGCTTGGGCTATTTGCTGATATTCTGACTTAGTTATGTGTCCCTCTTTCCACTTTCTATACTTGTCCTTTTCATCTTTCAATTTATCAGAGAGTTCTTTATGCAGCCATGCTGGTTTCTTTTGAGAGCTGTTATTTTTCCTCTTTGTTGATATTGTGCTAGACTGGGCTTTTATTATCTCACTTTTCAAAATTTCCCAAGCTTCTTGAGTTGTTTTCCCCTGGAGGATTCTCATCCATGGAATCCTTCCCAAACCCTCTCTAAGTTTATTGAAATTAGCTTTCTTGAAGTCCAAGACTCTAGTTTGACTGTGTTCTATTGTTTGTGCTTCCATAATATTGAATTCCAATATTGCATGATCACTTCCTCCCAAAGTTTCTATGGCTTCAACACCTTCTATCATTTCATCTCTGTTAAGTGAGAATTAGATCCAATATGGCTAATCCCCTAGTTCTCTTCCCTACTTTTTGGGAGACAAAGTTGTCTGCTAGGTTTGTCAGAATCTGTTTGATCTTCCACTTGATGCAGAGTTTGTCTCCCAGTTGATGTCAGGGTAGTTAAAGTCCCCCATTACTATTGTGATGTGCTTCCTACATACCTTAGTTAACTGATAGCAAAAAGTTCATCTATTTCCTGTGTTTGGTTGGGTGGCCTATAGTATACACCTATGGCAATGTCATTTTCCCCCTTTTATATTGACTCAAATTCATTCAAGACAGTTTTCATCATTGTTGTGCTCAATTTCTGAAGAGATGTAGTTATTTCTTATATAGAGAACAACTCCACCTCCTCTTTTATTTGGTCTGTTTCTTTTAAATAATTTAAATGCCTCTAGCTGTGTGTTCCATTTGTGGGTTTCATCCCACCATGTTTCCATAATGGCAACAATATCATATCTGCCCACATTAACCTGAATTTCTAGTTCACCCTGTTTGCTATTCATACTCTGTGCATTGGTGTATAGACATTTGAGTCCTTTATGACCGACCCTGTGTTTACTTTCTACATAACCTGTGTGGTGCCTAAGTTCCCCTATAATAGTAGTAGTAAAGTTGGAAGGGACCTTGGAGGTCATCTAGTCCAACCCCCTGCTCGGGCAGGAAACCCTACACCATTTCAGACAAATGGCTGTCCACTCTCTTCTTAACAACTTCCAGTGTTGGAGCATTTACTGCTTCTGGAGGCAAGCTGTTCCACTGATTAATTGTTCTCACTGTCAGGAAGTTTCTCCTTAGTTCTAGGTTGCTTCTCTCCTTGATTAGTTTCCACCCGTTGCTTCTTGTCCTGCCTTCAGGTGCTTTGGAAAATAGCTTAATTCCTCTTCTTTATGGCAGCCCCTGAGATATTGGAATACTGCTATCATGTCCCCCCTTGTCCTTCTCTTCGTTAAACTAGACATACCCAATTCTAGCAACCGTTCCTTATATGTTTTAGCCTCCAGTCCCCTAATCATCTTTGTTGCTCTTCTCTGTACTCTTTCTAGAGTCTCAACATCTTTTTTACATATTGTCTTACCACCTATTTGGTTAGTGCACTTTGTGTGGCACTCGCTATTAAGAGCTTAATTTTGCTTGACAGCAAGGTTGATGTTCTTGTCCACACACACATCTACGTTACATGCACTGATAGCCTTATAATTTTTAGATTGCCGGGGACAGGGATGTTCTGTATCAATTAGCTACCTGTCCCCGCTATTTAGTTTAAATATTCCTCCAGAAAATCTGTGAATTTGTAGCCGAGTAACTCAGTCCCTTTCTTTGATGGATGCAAACCATCTCTTTTGTACATTTTTTCATTGGACCAGCTGCTGACATCGTGACTAATATATCCAAAGCCTTCCCCTTTACTCCACTCCTTTAGCCACATATTGAATTGTGCTATACGCTGGCTTTTTCCTTTTTGGTCCTTATACACTGGTAAGACCTCTGAAAAAATAAGCCTACAGCCTATTCTGCTAAGTTCCTGCCCCAGGCGCTGGAAGTCATTCTGCACAGAGAGTACATCTTTTTGAGATAGATCGTTAGTGCCAAGATGTACAATAGTGTCCACATCACAGTCCTTGCTGGCATTCTTGATTATTTTACAAATACACTTCTTGTCCCTACTGGCAGTAGCACCTGGGAGACATCTGACCTGTTTCGAAAACTCTGTGTCCTTTCCTAAATTTAAATCCCTTACAATTGAATCAACATCCAGAAGGTGGCTTCTCTTTTTGAGTGCCTTTCTGTTCTTGCATGACTGATGTGTAATACCTGATTCACACTTCTCCCTGTCGAAAACAAGTTCTTCATCTCGGACCAAGATCCCCTACTTATTTGAGTTATCATCAGAAATACCTTTACCTGTCTCCTTAATGTTCCTATTAAGGTCAGCAAGGGCACTGTATCTGTTGTGCAGGGACACAGCAAAAGCTTTGTGTTTATGGTTCATAGCTCTCACCCTGCCAGATCCCACGATTGTCCACACTGCCCTTCTTCTGCAGGAACTTTGTAGTAGAGGGGGCTGATAGCGCAGAGGCTTAATGGAATAGAAGGGCTGAACTGGACACCTTATTTCTGCCTGAAGAGCAGAGATTACAGACCCTAGATAAATTATCTGTCCTTGTAGATTAGTGATTTATTTACAGATAGGACAGTTTCCAATATTGAAAAGGGTGCTGCGAAAGTCAGTTGCAAAACAAGTGTTGCACTGAACTATGCCGGACATTCTTAGATACAGGGAATCTCAGACGCACTTGCCCTGAATATACTGCTGCTGTTTGATTTTCGGTTACATAGATCCAATCAGCAAGGCCCTAGCTGCTTTTAGAGCTACACCCCTGACCAACTTACAGTTATAGAAAGCACTGGGAAGTTTAAATGCAATAGATACAATCAGCAAGGCCCCAGCTGCTTTTAGAGCTATACCCCCGACCAACTTAAGAGTTATAGCAAGCACTGGGAAGTTTAAATGCAATAGATACAATCAGCAAGGCCCCAGCTGCTTTTAGAGCTACACCCCCCAACCAACTTACAGTTATAGAAAGCACTTGGAAGTTTAAATGCAATAGATCCAATCAGCAAGGTCCCAGCTACTGACCATCCTATTAATGTTTTGAGTTCAATTTACATGCCCTTACTATGCAAATTTAGACCATCATTATAATTATTTTTAATCACAATACACTACAGATCTTCTTTTACCTAATACATTAAAACAACTGAAAATGAGAAAATGAAAAACACAATATTTCTTTGAACTCTTCCGTGCAAATATCTTACTTACATCCCTCATCATTTTTGATGCTTCTTTAATTCTTCCAAGCTTTCTTGCACACATAGCTAGTCTTCTTTTCACATAAACCAATACATTGGTATCTCTTCCTGAAAAGAGATTCATCAAATGTATTGTTAGCAAAAGTAACCATTCTCTCTGAGTTTTTATTTACATAAGTACAGTATATTTTGTTATTTTGTCTAAATATACTTACTGACCATAAAAACATAAAATGCAGAGAACACAGTAAATATGACATTTTATTTTCATTTTTTATACTCATATATGTAATTCTAATAGAATACTTTTACATTGGGGGAAAATATTTTTTTGCAGATGTTGCTATATAGAAAGATTGTTTTTTAAAAAATAAAAGAAATATTATTCAATGATCTTGTCTAATATATAAAAATGGAAATAATTCCTTAGTAAGCTTAAGTATTATCAAGTTAATAATGTGTCCATTTGGAAATACACAATAAAGAAAATATTACATTCTCTGAAAGAAAAATGGAAAACTACAGGCATGTGAGATTCTGATCCAATATAAAATACAGCAATCCAAAGGGTTCCTAAACCTGTTACTATGGAATCATAAGCTTGCTAACAACCTCTCATCCAAACAATAAATCATATTTGTTTCTCCATTGTAATAATTGAAGCCTGAGAACTTTTTATGACTTCAAAATGGCATAAAACATTAAGAAGAGAAACAGAAACAGAAAAGGCTATAGTAATCTTGATCCTTTATTGTAAAAAAGTCAGTAAGTACATACCATACTTAGACTAGTTAGCTAGCTTTTTAATGATAGCACTGAGGATAGGACAATGTACTATTAAAACCAAAATGAGTTATTCCAATGAACTTTCCAGAGTTACATGATGCTATAAATTAAGTACGTAATGCAGGATTTTTTTTGACAAATAATAGGATAAGGTTTTAGTAAGAAAGTAAAAAATCTTATCTGTTCAAAGAGTTTGTAAATAGTTAACTTCATTTCTATAAACTTGAAGTACTGAGAATAAAGAGTAAAAAAAATACTGTCTTGCCCAGAACTGCTACAGATAATATAGTACAACAATCCTTTTATTTTCATTTCACAAAAGAGGGAAGAAAAAAAACCAACTGTTTGTCATTTCAGTCCCATAATAAAAAGAGGAAAAATTAATGAAGCATTTACTTATGTGCTCTGGGCTACTCACAAAGACTTCCTTATAGAAATTAAAGCTCTGAAAATTGGGAGAAGTTACAGTTATCTCTTATGGGAAGAATTGCAGTGATTAAAATGAATGTCCTGCCAAAATTTCTCTTTTTATTTCAAATGTTACCTATTTTAAAGAATGAGGTTAATTTAAATGAATGGCAGAAAGGTATCAACAAATTTATTTGGGCAGGGAAAAAACCAAGGGTAAAGCTTAAAATTATGCAAGACTTCCGTGAGAGAGGTGGACTCAAGATACCGAATCTGAAATTATATTATGATGCTGTGGCTTTAACACTAATTAGTGATTGGGTTAATTTAACAAATGTAGAAATACTCCATTTGGAGGGTTGGGATTTACTTTTTGGATGGCATGCTTATCTAATTTTTAATAAAAAAGTGGATCGGGTTTTTAAATCTCATATTATAAGGATTTCTTTACTTCGGGTTTGAAGGAAATATTATAAAAGTGAGTTTAAAATACCATTATGGGCTATACCTTGGCATGTGATAGAGGGGATAAGAGGAGGAGTTAAGATGGATAGTGTTTCTTATGCGCAATTACTCAGGTGGGATGGTAAAAATTGGCAGTTAAAATCTTTGGAAGACTTAGCACATGAAAATATTATATATTCATGGTTTCAGTATAGACAAATAGCTGATAGATGGAAGATAGATCGTAATGTGGGTCTGCTCAGAGAAGATGAAAATCTCTTTAAACAAGTAAAAGATCAAAGGCGAACTCACATTAAGAGAATTTATGGGGTGCTAGTAGAACTGGACTCAGAACCAGAACTAATTAAAGAATGTATGATTAAATGGGCACAAAATTTTGGTGAACCAGTTCTACTAGATACCTGGGAAACCATCTGGGTGAGGAATGTTAAATTTACACAAGCCCAGAACTTAAGGGAGAATTTTTACAAAATGTTTTACAGATGGCACCTTGATCCACAAAAAATGTCTCGTATGTATCCTGACTTACAGCCTAAATGTTGGAGATGTGGTTGTTTGGATGCTACTTATTATCATATTTGGTGGTCGTGTAAAAATATAAAAGTCTTTTGGATTAAGATATGGTGGAATATTCAAAGAATTTTTAGAAAGAGGGTAAAATTTACCCCACAATTGTTTTTGTTAGGTATTGTTACTGATTGTGATGCTAAGGAAGTTATATTGATGTTAAATTTGATTACGGCCGCTAGGCTGTTAGTAGGGCAATATTGGAAGAAGGAATCTTTGCCTACCTTGCAAGAGTGGTTTTTTAAAGTTTCTTATTTGGCGGAAATGGCAAAGATTTCGGCTTTTTTAAAGGAGCAATCGCAAGAGAAATTTTTTGCAGTATGGGAAAAATGGATAAATTTTATACAATATAAATTGGATATAAAAAATATCATTTAGCTTTCTAATAACTTGTATATAAACTTTAATATTTTATAGATTGTACTCTTTATATCTCTTTTCTTCTCTTTTCTTTTTTTTATTATCTCTTTTTCTTTTAAGTACTTTTTCTTTTTAATACGTATGCTTTTTTACATATATTTTATTGTTAATTATTTTATAAATTGTTTATGTAAGGTATTTAGATATATTTATGATTTATACTTTTTCAATTTTTTTAAGATTCTTAAAAAATTTAATTAAGCCTATATTCAGCTCTGGGAAGGTCGGGGGGGATGGAGAGGGAGGGTTGGGGTGGGTGGGTTAGGGTTGTTTTTTTTGCTTTTTGTAAAAATATCTAAAAATTTTCAATTAAAAAAAAAAAAGAAATTAAAGCTCTGAATGGGTAAATGAAACTATATATATGCTTTCATATGTGAAAGTACCCTTAGCACTGATATAAATTACTTACACTGTTATTATTCCATTAATGGAAGAACCTTTTTTGGCTGTTTCATTTCATGTAAGTGCTGCAATTTTAGTAGCAAACTGTAACATTTGGGACATAGGAGTAAGGTTGAAATCTCATACAATGGAGTAATTCCATTGCATTAAATATGACTATAGGTAGTCAATAATGGTAATTTGGATCAAATGCTGTGGTAGTAAAGCACTATGTCCTATGGCTGCATTACTTAACTATAGCAATCCTGGTAGTCTCTGCTGCCATCATTAAGTGAGACTCACAGGTTGTTAAATGAGGATCTCCTCATAACTTCTTGCTGGCTTACAAGCAAAGACAATGTGATATTTGGCAGGAAGTTGCAGGGAGGTCCTGCACAGGAGTGACTGATAACAGGGGGCAGGTAGGACATGCAAACAGCTTCAATGGCCCAGTACAAACTCCCAGTTATCCCAGCCCACAAAGCCTGAGCAGTCTAGCCTAAATATGTGGTACAAACCCCAGCTGCTTCTTGGAAATCACTACATGCAACCTCAAGGAGGTCTTGCATGGCCAGGAACTGCCTCACAAAGGCTGGGAGTGCTTCATCAGCACCAGGAGCAAGATGACAGTAAAGGTCAACTGGGGGTGGCAGAGCACAAGGTGACATGATCTGTAGAGTGCAAGGGACCAGGGTGTGCTGCCAAGCCTTTGAATTTTGATCACATGACCACAGCAGTGCTCTAATGGCCAAACTTTGAGAACCAGGTGTTCATCGCTTTTGTAATTTTGAATGTTTGCTGAACAAAGAATCATTGAGTAAGATGTGATGGAATGTGCACCTGAAGAAGCAGAAGGGAATCTTTGCAGCTTTCCCAGGAAAAAGGCAATACATTTCAGAGAAAAACCCAAACTAATACACTGTGCAGTCCCAAGATGAATCAGAGAGGGGAAAAAAGTTCAGAGTAGCTATACCCTAGAATTTCTTAGGATATATCTATTAGGGTAGAGCTTTAGTTTGGCAAATAAACACTGAAGCAAATAAAACATTGGACTCAACTAGATTTCATTGTGTCATCTTTGGGCTTGACAGATTATCTGTCAAATGAACATTCATAGGTTGCTCAGTCAGATCAATTTTACTGCTTTCTGTCGCAGTAAAATTAAAATGCACAGTAATCAGTAGTCTATGATTTAAAATTTTGTGTTATATTGATTTTAACTCCTTATTATTTAAAAAGTATTAGTTTTTGTGTTAAGGATTACAGTGAGACCAATCTCAAATCTACCAAATTTAAACAATTTGTGCAACAATACTTACTAAGCTGTGCCTCATGGTGTGGATTTTGTGAACTGCTATGCTGAGACTTTTTATAAACTGTTTCTCCTGCCCTCAGAGCTTGTTTAAAGTATTTTTCAGCTTCTAAAATAGTAGTTGCTTCTTCCTCAGCCAGAAGAATGTATGCTGTGGCACAGCTGAAAGGGAAGGGGAAAATTTTGTAAGCTGCCCAGAGTCACTTATGCAGTGAGATGGATGGTATACGAATTTAATAAACAATGAAATATTGTGTTTAAATAAAAACTAGCTTAGGATTTATTTTGAATTTGGATATTATAATAACAGCAATTAAGGTTTTCTGAATAGGAAACTTATAGTAAGTCTGAGTAAGGCATGTGCTTTCCTAGTTCACAACATAGCCAAGAAACACATATTTACTTCCACTGTACTCTTTCTTTTTAAGAACTAAACCACAGAAACAGATCTAGTATCTTCACATTATCACTTTATACTTCATCTGAAGAGTTCAGCCTCTAAAAAAATCTTGTATCTTATTTAAATAACTGAATAACATGGGGCAACTTTCAAGAAATTAGAATAGTTATTACACATATCATTTAAGTCTGCTCATAATATGACTAGGTAATATAAAATTATATTTATGCCTTAAATTTAAAATGCAATTCTAAAATTCAGAATTTTAATTCATATATTTTTTTTTAGATCGTGCATGTCCTAACTTCTTCACTTGCCTAGGCCACACTGAGTAAAGAGGTGCTGTCTTGGGCCGCATATAAAGTATATAATATTTAACGTATATAAATAACAAGCGTCCTTTATTTTTGTATATTTTTATTATATCTTGTGGGGCCACATTAATAGTTGGGTTACATGTGGCCTTCGAGCCATGGGTTGGACACACCTGCTTTAGACTGAGCATGCAAACTTACTCATTATTTAATTCTAAAGCTTGATACGCTGCTTTGATTCGGGCCTGAGGATTCCTTTCCCGCCATGCCTTCTGCATAACTATTTAAACAGAATAATTTATGTAAAAATTAGTTATTCATGCAAGAAACACATTTCAGAAAAATAAAACTAACCGTATGACAGTGCTACACATTTCTGTGAAAATTAATATCCAAATAAAATTTATGTATGTTTTTAACAAGAAAATGTTTAAAAAGTTATTAACAAAAATATACAAAAGAAGCAATTACATTCCTCATACACACACATATTTAACAAATGACCCTAATTATTTCATTCCTCCTACCAATAGCAATAACACTTAGACTTATATACCACTTCAATAGTGATTTACAGCCCTAAGTGGTTTACAGAATCAGCATAGTGCCCCAACAATCTGGGTCCTCATTTTACCAACCTTGGAAAGATGGAAGGCTGAGTCAACCTCGAGATGGTAAGGATCAAACTGCTGGCAGTCGGCAAAGTCAGCCTGCATTACTGCATTCTAACCATTGCGCCACCAAGGGAGGCAGTTTGCACTAGGTGACTTGAATTTGTTTCTTTCTCTTGATTTGCACTGAGCTTATTTAACTATTATATCTGAGTACTTTGCTGAGGATCTCGCTCACTGGTAAGAAAGTAAGTGAGAGAGATTTTCAGTATAGTACTCTGATATAATAGCTAAATTCATTTTTAAAAACAAAAACAAAAAACAAATCTCTAATTGCGAAAAAAGTTATAAGCAAAAGATTGTGACTTGAAAAAAATACCTACACCTGCCCTAATCATAAAAAATCATGGCAAAATCAACTCTACTAAGATCCATGGGGCTAACTGCAAGACAAATAAATGCAAGATTGTAGTCTGAATATCTAGTTGCCCTTAATTTTGGCTGAAAGCTGGTGGTCACAATTTACACAATATAATAACAAAATTATACTTGACATGCCTCAGAGAAGAAAAAATACCCGATGCATAGAAAAATGTTGAAGTGATTCATAAACAAGCAAGCATAATTTGGCTTAAAAATAAACCTGAAAAAGAGCCAGGTTATGTTTAATAAATTCACCAAAGATTTTTTTTTTTATATCTGGAGAAGAACTAGATACAGTAGACCACATATACATAAACGTTGGTCATCGGATCTCAATGGAAGGTGATACAATAAAGGAAATTGAACGGCATGTTAAATGTGGTTGGCAGGCATTCAGCAAGCTAAGCATAATTTTCAAGAATATCTCTCTATGCTTGAAAAGTTTTCAATCAAGTATGCCACCTGCTCTAACATATGCCAGTGAAACATGGACATAACCTCACAATTGATACAAAAGCTACGAGTGGTGCAAAGAGCCATGGAAAGATACATGCTCCGCATTACAAGACAAGACCCGCACATGAATTGGATAACAAACGAAAGTATATGATATCATTGAGACTATAAGAATTGAAATGGAAATAGTTACATAGCAAGAACTGATGGCAGGTGGACCAAGACAGTCATAAAATGGATCCTACTTGATAAAAAGCATCCACAAAAGAGACCTAAAACAAAATGGATCAATGACATCAGCAAGTATTGCCTTCATCCTATAGTGGACAATGGACAAAATGATGATGATGATCTGCATATAAAATATGGGTCTCCAATGATCTCATCCAGACTGCCCCAGTTATAAAATGGAAGGTTGCACCAATGGGAAAAAATGAAGACTACATTTTAATATTTAATAAATACACAGTAATAAAAGAGTTGCTTCTTAGGTTTTCCCTTCATATGCTTACACTACATCTATGGGTGGAGTAAATACTGTAAGAAGAATAACAGTTTCAACAATATATCCTTATTTACCTTTTTTCTTCTTTCACAAAGAAAAATAAATTATACCTGCATCTGAAGGTCTAAGAGAGTCTGTTTCACAGGTAAAAAAACTCTGATGATCCTGAGCAGATAAGTTCATATCATAATATGTTAGTGGCTCCTTTCCTGTCACCCATGTATATCTTCAAGAAAAAAAAATGAGCATCATTAATTCCATAATTCTATGTACATCTATTCAGAACTAGTTTCTTTCTAAATGAAAGTACTTTTAAAATTTTCTTAGCAACATTTTCAGATTTGGTTTATTTTTATTTAATTTATTTATTTACCAGGTTGTCTTCTTCTTAGGGCTAAGAATGTGAATGGCCCTATATCATCGCACTGGCTTTGTGTCTAAGGACTAAAGACTCCCAATTTCCCGTTTTCTACTAGTGTCATTAACCTTAACACTAATCAGGTCCTCAAACCTATATTATACTTCAGCCTTAAGGAAATAGTAACATAAGAAACAGAAACGTAAGAAGTATATTTAACTGAATAGCTTGGTTTTTTTTTCCTGTGCAGCATAACCCAGATTGAATAAATAGAGAATAGAGATTTAGAATAAGTCTTTATCATAAATTTCCAAACAGCCTGGGATTTCAGAATAGTGCACTGGAATTCATGATAACAATTATTTTTTATAATATTCTGAAAATGATACATTCAAACAATTATTTCCACAAAAAATGAAGAAAATAATTATCTGTATGTGATTACCTGTGCAAACATTAATATACTATATCTTTGGTATGCTCAGGATTAGAAATAGGTTTGAACTGGTGACTTCTTTTTATTGTTTAAACAAATAAGGTATAAAACAAATAGAATTGTTGGGTACCTGTTATATTCTGCACCTCTAAAGAGATTGAGTGGATTTCTCCATACCTTGCACTCTGTTTTAGAAAAAGAATTTTAGTCTTAAAATTAATCTAGAATTACCCTTACTTAATAAAGCTATCTTTCTAAATCCTAAAAATGGGAAATTACTAAATCTAAACTGGGTCAATAGAACTTGTCCTTCAAATTGGAATGTCTTTGAGTCAGTCTTGAAACCTGGCCACTGCCTGGATAAGTCCATGTAGTTTTCTTGGCAGTATTTTTGAATCACAAATCATATGGTTTGGCAATTAACAGATTTTTCAGGATTCCAAATACTAACTGTCCAATCAAAAACTTTTCCATTTCTTTTTCATGTATATGTATGTCCCCTTAAAAAAATCACTTAAATTAAATATATAGGCTAATTATTAAGTACATTTAATAATAACAAAACAACAATAATAATAAAGTTGGAAGGGACCTTGGAGGTCATCTAGTCCAACCGTCTGCTCAGGCAGGAAACCCTATACCATTTCAGACAAATGGCTGTCCAGTCTCTTCTTAAAAACTTCCAGTGTTGGAGCATTCAATGCTTCTGGAGGCAGGTTGTTCCACTGGTTAATTGTTCTAACTGTCAGGAAGTTTCTCCTTAGTTCTAGGTTGCTTCTCTCCTTGATTAGTTTCCATCCATTGCTTCTTGTCCTGCCTTCAGGTGCTTTGGAGAATAGCTTGACTCCCTCATTGTGGCAACCCCTAAGATATTGGAACACTGCTATCATTTATAGAAACCTAGTATTAGAAACAATCACCTGAGAGATTTTGTCTGTTCATTTCATTTTCTCCATTAGCAGCAGAAAAATTTGCCTGTCCAGAACTAGCATTCTCTGCCCCTCCAATGAGTGGTCGCAGATGACTCACAGAAACCTGCTCGATAAAAGACATGCCATATTTTCTGAAGTACCACCATTCAAATATCTGGAACAAGAAACAGAAAAATATGTGGAATGCAATTATTATGACTGGTTGCACAGAGAGAGAGATATTTAAACTGGATTTGGCATTTTTATTGAGTTATGTTTTTATCCTGCCTTTTCATTTACCCTTCAACAGAAAAAACCTGACCATTTCCTCACAGCTAATCAGACATAAAAACAGAATACAGTATCTCAAAACTTTTCTTTTTCATTTCAGAAAGAAAATATATTTAATAGTTGGCTTCATTTTCCAGTTCACAAAATGAGCGTCAGCATATGAGATATACATAATCTAAGCAAATAATTGTTCTGAGTAAATCACAATCCATTTAACTTGCAGAATTCCTCACAGATGAGTTTCTTATAATTTTATAAACCTTTTTCTTGCAAGACTATATTTTTTATTCTATCAAATAGCACCATCTGGAGTTCAACTAGTATATCAGATGCACTTTATTTTCAATTTAGCGCTAGCATAGTTTGCATAAAATCTAATTTTAAAAATCTACAGCTTTGATGAAATGATACATCAAATTATATTAGGCATGTTATCCATCGTCCAAGTATTGTAAACATTTTAAAAGATACCTAACTCCTTCTCGATTGCTATATACTGTACATAAATATAACATGTTTTTAAAATTATTATCTCTGCTTAGAGCAGGAATGTAACAATAGCAGGGGCAAACATAGTTTAATCCTCAAAGCAAGCTAGGAACCAAGTTTTTATTTGCAGTTCAATGAACATAGGATTGCTTCTAGCTTTAGACAATTGAAACTGATGGGATCCAGACAAGGTTAACTTAAGGCAGATTCATATCAATGAGTTTGTTTCAAGTATAACAACAACTGAAACTAACCTGTTGGATATAATGAAGTAAATAAAACCAGTCTTATATGAATATGTAAAGCATTCCTCTAATACTCAGTTTGCTTCCAGTGTTTTCAAGACCTATGAACTCAAGCAACAATGTAGCTCACTTCTACTATATTTCTTGATTAGTTAAGGTACACAGAAATGCAGAAAAATACTTACAAATATCAGACCAGATATCAAAGATGAAGTTCCCGTAAGTGCAACATAGAATTTTGGAGTCAGTGTGCTCAAGAAAACAGTCACTGCCAATGAAAAGATAAGCCATGTCAGTTAACAAAGTTGGATTATATAATCTTCAGGCGAATAAAATGATGAATATATGGATCAAGGCAAGTGATCTTGTTCATACATATTACAATATAAACTATGGCTAAAGCAACCAAACTGTCTGGATTCACTCATCACATGAGGCTAAAACCTTACAAATAACAATATGGCATAATATGGTAGTTCCCATCCTCAAAAAAGGAAAAAAAAATGGATCCAGGAAATTACAGATCTATCAGCCTGACCTCAATACCTGGGAAGATCCTGGAAAAGATAATCAAACAACGAATCAACGAACACCTAGAGGCAAACAAAGTCATTACTAAAAGCCAACATGGGTTTGTCAAAAATAGATCATGCCAGACAAATCTTATTGCATTCTTTGACCAAGTGACAAAATTAGTGAATCAGAGGAATGCTGTGGACATAATTTATTTGGACTTCAGTAAGGCATTTGATAAAGTAGATCACAACCTACTACTTGACAAGATAGAAAAATGTGGGGTAGACAGAACCACCACCAGATGGATCCGTAGCTGGCTGACCGGCCGTACTCAGCGAGTGGTCCTCAATGGAACAGCATCTATATGGAGGGAAGTGTGTAGTGAGGTGCCCCAGGGCTCTGTTCTGGGCCCAGTACTCTTCAACATCTTCATCAACAATTTGGATGAAGGGATAGATAGGGAACTCATCAAATTTGCAGACGACACCAAGCTGGCAGGAATAGCCAACACTCCAGAAGACAGGCTTAAGATACAGAAGGATCTGGTCAGACTTGAACACTGGGCACTAACTAACAAAATGAAATTCAATGGTGAAAAAAGCAAGGTTCTACATTTAGGCAAGAAGGCAAGAGCCGAGGTGGCGCAGCAGTTAGAGTGCAGTACTGCAGGCCACTTTAGCTGACTGTGTTCAGCAGGTCAGCGGTTCAAATCTCACCGGTTCAAGGTTGACTCAGCCTTCCATCCTTCCGAGGTAGGTAAAATGAGGACCCAGATTGTTGGGGGCAATGTAAATATATATATATACATTGCTTACTGGTGTACTCCGCTTAGAGAGTGCTTGCACTTAAAGCGGTATATAAGTCTCATAAATAAATAAATAAATAAATAAGAAAAACCAAATGCACAAGTACAGCATAGGTGGCACCATGCTCAATAATAGTAACTGTGAGAGGGACCTCGGAGTCTTGGTAGACAATCACCTAAATATGAGCCAGCAGTGTGCTGCAGTTGCCAAAAAGGCCAACACAGTGCTAGGCTGCATTAACAGAGGGATAGAATCAAGATCATGTGAAGTATTAATACCACTCTTCAATGCCTTGGTAAGGCCACACTTGGAATACTGCATCCAGTTTTGGTCACCACGATGTAAAAAAGATGTTGAGACTCTAGGACAGGGGTAGGCAACCCAAAACACTCAAAGAGCCACTTGGACCCGTTTCCCACCAAAAACAAAACACCGGGAGCCGCAAAATCCTTTTGATATCTAAAATGAAGATAACACTGCATATATCCTTTTTTACCTTTATTATAGGTGTGTGTCTGTTGTATGTGTATGTATGTGTATATATATATGTGTGTGTGTGTGTGTATGTAGGTATACACACACACACACACATATATATATACACATACATACACATACAGGTAAAAAAAGGATATATGCAGTGTTATCTTCATTTTAGATGTCAAAAGGTTCTCTCTCTCTCTCTCTTTCTCTCTCTCTCCCTCCCTCTCTATCTGCCCTTGGTCTGCCTGCCACTCCTCTTCCCCCACTCTCTTTCTTTCTCTCTCTCTCTCTCTCTCTCTCTCTCTCTCTCTCTCTCCCTCCCTCCCTCCCTCTCTCTCTCTCTCTTTCTCTCTCTCCTATCTGCTGCTCACCTGGCAAGCTTCAAGCTGTTGTCCAACAAGCTCAGGGTAAGCAACCTCCTCTCTTTTATGACTCATGGACTTCAACTCCCAGAATTCCTGAGCCAGCTTAGCTGGGCTAGCTAGCTCTCTCCTGCCCTTCCTGCTTCCTGCAGAGACGCAGCAAAGGGAGGAGCTCCGTCCAGAAAGCTTTTCAGCTCCTCGGAGAACACTGTGAGTGCAATCTCTCTCACACACACACACACACAGAGAGAGAGAGAGAGAGAGAGAGAGAGAGAGAGAGAGAGGGGGGGGGGAGAAGGAAGCAGGGAAGCGTAATTGCCTGTCTCTGTCTCTCTCTGCAAAGGCAGAGGAGGCTGGGAGCCACCGGGGAAGGCTCAAAGAGCCGCATGCGGCTCCGGAGCCGCAGGTTGCCGACCTGTGCTCTAGAAAGAGTACAGAGAAGAGCAACAAAGATGATTAGGGGACTGGAGGCTAAAACATATAAGGAACGGTTGCTAGAATTGGGTATGTCTAGTTTAACGAAGAGAAGGACAAGGGGGGACATGATAGCAGTATTCCAATATCTCAGGGGCTGCCATAAAGAAGAGGGAATTAAGCTATTTTCCAAAGCACCTGAAGGCAGGACAAGAAGCAACGGGTGGAAATAATCAAGGAGAGAAGCAACCTAGAACTAAGGAGAAACTTCCTGACAGTGAGAACAATTAATCAGTGGAACAGCTTGCCTCCAGAAGCAGTAAATGCTCCAACACTGGAAGTTTTTAAGAAGAGACTGGACAGCCATTTGTCCGAAATGGTGTAGGGTTTCCTGCCCGAGCAGGGGGTTGGACTAGATGACCTCCAAGGTCCCTTCCAACTTTACTACTACTACTACTACTACTACTACTATTATTATTATTATTATTATTATTATTATTATTATTACTACTATATTCTCCCAGCCAGTGTTAAGAATTAATAGCAAGTTGCTCTATTTTGAGAAATTCAATAGTTTAAAATAAATAGCTGAAAATACCCTGTAATGTTTTAGTGAATAGACTCAGGACCTTATCTAGGTAAGATTAAATCCAAAAACCCATATCTTGAGAGTTATAATAAATGAAAAGTGTAAACATGAAGTAATGGAACAACAGAATAAGCAATGAAAAAGAAAACACTGATATAGTGATATGAGAATAAAAGAGTACAGAAAGAGTACAGAGAAGAGCAACAAAGATGATTAGGGGACTGGAGGCTTAAGCATATTAGGAAAGGCTGCTGGAGTTGGGTATGTCTAGTTTAACAAAGAGAAGGACGAGGAGGGACATGATAGCAGTGTTCCAATATCTCAGGGACTGCCACAAAGAAGAGGGAGTCAAGCTATTTTCCAAGGCTCTGAAGGCAGGACAAGAAGCAATGGATGGAAACTAATCAAGGAGAGAAGCAACCTAGAACTAAGGAGAAACTTCCTGACAGTTAGAACAATTAACCAGTGGAACAACCTGCCTCCAGAAGCAGTGAATGCTCCAACATTGGAAGTTTTTAAGAAGAGACTGGACAGCCATTTGTCTGAAATGGTATAGGGTTTCCTGCCTGAGCAGGGGGTTGGACTAGATGACCTCCAAGGTCCCTTCCAACATTATTGTTGTTGTTGTTGTTGTTGTTGTTGTTGTCAGAGTCAGATCTTCAGGCTCTTTTACAGAAAGATATTATGCAAATCAAGCCAACCGTAATTCAATAAACAATGCTTAAATGATCCATGACTTACTATCTATGTTCTAAGTATGTTCTTTTCCAAGGAACCCCCCCCCCCGTAGGCTCCCCTATCCCTGCCACCTTATTTCCTTTGCTCCCGCAGAGTTGCTTTACAACCCCGGCGCGACCGTCCCCTTACCTGCCACTAAGTTGTCCCGCAGCCGAAGCGGGCCCCGCAAGAAATAAAGGAGACCCAGCGTCGCCAGGAAGCCAAATGACCGCGCCCAAGGCCCTGAAGCCAGCCTCAGCCGCTCCCATCGCCGAGGACCGGGCCCAGGGCCAGGGGACTGGGAGAGAGACGGCGCAGCATCCCCACTCCCAGGATTACTCTCCGCCATGACTCCCGCCCTCGGCTTGCTGAGGCCTGGCTGGCTGAAAGAGGCAGGAGGGCGGGATCAACCAGGCGCGCCGCCGCGGCCGATTCGCCCCGTTTAATGGAAGGCGGCACTCGCAGCGGATGGGGAGCCGGATAGGCGCCCTCGCCGGCTCCCGTACTCTCGAATTTGCTTTCAGACAGGCAGCTCTGTTTGTTTTATCCAGATTGCTCGCGCTGTGGTTACAGGGAAGTCCTTTTAAACAAAGATATACCTTGCCCAGTATATGCTGATATATTGGAGCTATCTGTTTTTCTGATAGGAAATCAGAACTAATATACTTGGTTGAGCACAAGGTTTATTGTTTGCGCGTAAAGACAGGCATTTGGAAAGAAATTTAAAAAAGGAAAGGAAAACACTATTCATATGAAACGCTGCCTTGCAATTGGACCAAAGTGGTTCGATGCAGTTAACCTGTAGGGATTTGCTGAGCAAAAACCGGGATTGGATCCGGGAAGGCGGCATTAATGAGCGAAGGTGTAGGATAGCATCCACGTTTCAAAAGTGATTCTTTCAAACGGCCCTTTCAGGCGCCAACGGCAAGCAGCACCCATCCTCCTATTCCTAACAAGACAGTTATTACCGTCTGAATAAGCCAGCCACATCCGCTCCGCTGACATCCGGCCGGCAAATTTCTGGCTCCGCCCCAAAGTTCCCCCGTCCCGACGTGCCGTACGCGGGGTGACAGGTGGGGCGCTAGACTGATAGAAGCCAAAATGGCGGACTACGAAGATCGGGTGTCGGATGAAGAGAAAGTAAGAAGCCTGGGGTGTTTGGGATGTGTTTAGGAACAGAAGAAAGATATTTTTTCTACTCTGAATGTACAGAGATTTCTTTCATTGATTTTATTTTTCTTAGCCGGACTAAGATTCTTGAAACTGAGGAGGTTCGTAAGTTAAAGAGGACCATTTTTGTCGGGAAATTAGTTGACAGGAAAATTTTCTGGTCTTTCTATATTTTTGTTACTCCACTCGATGGGTTTTTTTTTCATAAATTAATGGGGCATATGGGGAAACTGTGCTCAGTTTCTGTGAACATTGGGGAAATGTTAATTTTACATTGGTATGATTTAATTATAATTTTCCATTTTGTATTTTAATTCCAACAGTTCATCCACTAAATACTGTGGTTCTGACAGTTACTGAGTTTTTGGATTATGTTTCAGTGTTGTCCTTCCTTAAAGGAGGTCAGGACAGAGAATGGAAGCATTTGATTTTGAAAAGCAGTATATTCCCTATTAGAATTATTTTATCTTTGCATAAATGCTTCAGTATAAATAGAATTGCTTCTTTCTCGTTTCATAGACATTATCTACATTTTATCTCACAGAATGCAAAATGTTTTATAATATTTTGTAATACTTCCATACCTATAACCTCATTAAGTTTGAATTGAGTTGGATGCAAACATTTGTTGTACTGAAGGTGGCAGTTGTATGTTCACATTACAAGTGAACAATACACTTCTTTAGAGGATCAGGGTAACTCTTGTAATAAACAGTTATTTATAGTTATAAGCTTTACTAGAAAATGTGATGATATTATTTGCTTTAGTGTATAAATTCGTTCAGATGCATGCTTAGAAAATCAAGCATAAAAATATTTAAGTTTTCTTTGTTGTGAATGAGTTCTGGCAGGCTGAGCATACTACGGATGTCCTCCATTAAATAGAATAGAATAGAATTTATTTTCATTGTTTAACTCACAATGAAATTAAGTGCTGTCCACAGTGCACACTACTCACAAGTAAAACCCACAAATAAGAACATAAATTATATACACACATTGTTCACATTCTGTGTCATCTAATCGGAGGCATGCCTTTTCCATCATGTTATGTAAAATGATGTGCTCTGCCCCATGCAACAGCATATCATCCAAAATTTGAATGGCCCCAGCTTTTCAGACTTTCTGTAATACATTAAAAACTTGGCTCTTCCCCATAGTTTTAGGCCTGAGTATTGGGTGAGCCAGTTTACTATTGTGACTGTTAGCATTTGAGTTATGCTCCATGTGCTCCATGTTTTTTTAACTTGTTTTTTATGGTTAAAGTGGTTATTTATTGCTTGCTAATCATTCAGAAGCTTATGTTAATTATGGTGGCCATATAAATCTATATAGTTAATAAATACCCTTAATAAAAACAAAAATGATCCAATAAATTAAAACAGAGATACTACATTTAAAATAGCAATTAGCAAGTTTTGATACCACATATTAGTTTCTAATATTTATATCTACACTTAAGCTTCAGTTCAATCTAATCTACACTAGAAAATATACACAGTCTTAATTATTATGGAGGAATTGAGATGGACAATCAATACAGTCTTGATTTTGTGTTTTTTGTGAATACTGTATGTTGTGTGTTCTATTTTACTTGTGCTTTACTGGGAATTAACTCTGGAAACTCCTTTCAAGTCTTGCATACAAGGATAGGTATGAGTACCTTCAGGCTTTTTAACCACAAACATACCTCAGGTCTGCCCAAAGCATTTTTGGAAGCCTTCTCCTTACAGAGTTCTTGGTTTGGATTGTTAATAGAAAAATTATACATTGCCTTCAGAAATGTCCCTTGCCTAATTCAATACTGTCCCTTTGGCTGTTAATTATGAGAGAGTTCTACATGTGTTGTTAGCAATAAACAAGTGCACATTTTTCTAATTGCTTTAGCATCCCTTTTTTTACACAGCAGTCCTTTAATATTGGCTGATACAATTACAGTAATCTTTACAGTGATCTCCTGACTGCATAGAAAAATTGTATACTTTTGTAGACCATGCATTCATATCTGTGTGCCAGATACACTGGAGAAATATAATGTACTGTTTTTGTAATATTATTTCTTTTAATGCTGCATAAGAATTCTCCCAAATGCCAAGGAATAAGAATGCAAAGTACTTTGACTTAAAAATCATATTTGATTGAATTTAGCTTCTGAAGTTTTATCTTGTGTAGCAGATATGAGAATCATGGTTAGTGAAGAGTTGGCATTTCTTTCCTGATTTCTGAGATATGGTATAACCGTATCATTGCAGGATGTAAACTGTTCCAAAAAAATTGCCTTTTGCAATTAACTTGATGGCACTTTTATCAATGCTGGTGGTGTCCAAGTAATGCTTCAGATATTTGGGGATCATACCCAAGGCATCTATTACCATTTGTACTATCTTTGCTTTCTTTTGTCATAATCATTTTGTTTTTATTTGCAGTTTTGTCAGTTTATAATATTTAATTTAACCTGAATTAATATAGTTTCTACAATAAAAACCAAAACTCTTCTTCATGGAAAACTTTTTGCAAAATGCAAGAAAACTAATAGACTGAAGTCTTTATGAAAATTACTTAAGTGTAAGTAGCAATGGACATTAGCATTTTTATAATATATGCTATATATAATAATTACAAAGATCAGCAAGTATATTTGTAGATATCCATCTTGATAGGGAATTTTATATGATTACCTCAAACTGTCAGAATGTATTAATCATGTTTAACCACATTATTTTTATTTATTTATTAGATTTTTATTAGATTTTTATTTGACCTTTATTACTTTATAAGTAATCAAAGTGGAGAACATTAATATATAATTATGTTATATATAATATAAGATTAATATTAATGCTTAATATATTAATGAGACATGTATTGCTATTATTTACTGATTAGCATATTGTCGTTGTATAGCAATAATGTGTAGTTATGTGCCATGTATTTCTGTGAATGGTGATAAAAAAAGACAGACTCAGAGAAAGCTGAAAATGACAAACAGTTTAATCAGGAAAGTTTCAACTAGTACAACATGTGGAAAGGTACCCAGGCAATGATTTCAGAGAAAACACAACAAGATATGAGATGCTCAGTTCTCATAATAAATGATTCTTGACATAACAGAAAATTATTTCCCTGGGAACAGAAGAGATAACAAATATTTAGTACAAAAGTACCAAGAAGAGTGAGAAAGGAAACTGGTCAAACTTTGTTGGACTGATGAAGCCTTGTTGGAATTATATTAAAATTATATTCCTTTAGGAATATCTTATAGAACAAGCATTTGCAGAGATTCAGACTGGATTTTACCTGAATCTAAATTTAGCCTGGTTATCTGATCTGTTGAAAGGAATGCATGGATATGTAAGTGAAAATTTTTATTCAAAAAGTGATCAGTAGAAACTCAAGTGAAACATGTGTTTCTGTGATCTAAATCTGTGGGTAAAATACCAAAACAGAACAAAATGCTTTATAATATTCACGATGACAGAGCATAATTGCAGGGCTAAAAGTAGATCCTGAAACATTAGGTACTATCACTTGCCACTATTTTTTAATGTGACACAAATATATAGCAAGAATAGAGTAGAGTAGAATAGAATAGAATAGAATAGAATAGAATAGAATAGAATAGAATAGAATAGAATAGAATAGAATAGAATAGAATAATAACTTTGTCACTTTAAATCAGTGGTTCTCAACCTTTTTAATGCCACGACCCCCAACCGGTCGTAAGTCGAGGACTACCCAACTGGTCGTAAGTTGAGGACTTTCCCTGCCCAGGAGCGCCACGCATGCGTGGTGCCGCCCCCTGCGCCGGCAAGCAGCAGAGACGGCTCAGGCCAACCACTGGCTGGACCACCAGCTGGCACAGCCCAATGGAGGTAAGGCACCCACTGGGCCCCAAGCGCGCCAGCAACCCTCCCTGCGCCCACCGGCCTCCCACCTCCCATCCCTGGCTCTCTTTTACTTACATTTTTAGTAGTTGCTCAGCAGGGAAGGGTGGAAACTTCCAGACAGCTCGCCTTTGCTGCAGACAACTTGCAGCACCGTTTGCAGAATGGAACTTTTGGCAGGCTCAGCAGGGCAGAGACAGCCTGGACAATTCCTATTGGCTTTTGAAAGCCAATAGAATTAGACTCTATTCAAGAGAGTCTATTCTATTGGCTTTCAAAAGCCAATAGAATAAAAGGGAGTAGCACAGCTAAGAAAAATGGGGAAAAAATGGCGGACTGCGTTGTTTGGCG